GTACAATGTATCGTCCCGTCGATACCGCGTATTCAGTCGGACCGATGCTTTTATAGCGCCGATGTAGGCCGTTTAGCTATTAATAACGCGAGTCTCCCATCATCGTCAGGTACTCCTATCTAACCGGCTTTTTTCCATCTGTAACGGTATAGGAAAGTCGCGAGTTACGGGGCAACATTGTTCACGATAATCATCGGTACGTGATACTATCAAGTAACACGAGATCGAGCTATTTGGTCGGCTCGTTTTAAGCGAGATTCACCCGAGAGAAATGAAAAGAAGAAAAGAAAGCTTAATGGACGTCGGTGATTATTCCTTCGACACGCTTATTATGGATACTCGTTACGATCGATGATCGATCGAATCAATAATCAGTGTATCCTGAAATTCCGTGAAATTGGTAAATCTTTGATAGACGGTGAAAATAGTGGAAGAAATAAATAGGGGTGAAAGGGGGATAGAAAAAAAAAAGATGTAGAACCGGTCGATCGATCGAGGCGCTGCGCGCCGGGGCGAATTCCGAAGAATCGCCGAGTGAAACACGATTTTGCCCGGTTGCGAACGAACCAAATATGGCGGGGGAGGGTAGGAAACCGGCATCGTGGTGGATTCAGGTGAAGACGAGGAGTCGGCAGCCAGGCTTATCCTCGGCCCCACGTAATTCTAGCTCAGGTAGATCTATAAATAGAGCCGGTGTACATGATGCCGACCTGTTGCTCGAGCACCCTCGTGTGAACGTCGAGGCCCTGAGTAATCGAACCCCGTTGTTCCGAAGAGTGGCTGCCTTCTCTGCCGTGCCGTGCCGTGCCGTGCCGCCTCACGTTCCATCGTTCCATCGTGCCCAAAAGCACTCGCCGCTTCGAGAGGTCATTAGGCGTAATGAATACCCGATAGCCCCCTTAACCCGCAATATAATCGCCTCTCTCGCGTACCTCTAAACACGCTCGACCGCTCGCTCTCCTCCATGCTTCTCGGCCCGTGCTAATGATTTCTCCGGCAATATCCGCTGCAGTATACCTTTCCGAACCTTCTGCAAGAACGCTTTGAGGCTGACTTTTCTTTGTTGTTGCAATTTGTGCCGTTTGATGCGGCCTCGAATCGTTTCACAATGCGACCGTGATGAATCAAACCGCGTGTTCGCCGTTTGTATTATCGGAGATTGAAAAATTACGACGAGTTTGAGGCGCGCAGCTGCGATTCACGCTGAAGTTAACTTGGCGCAAAGGGGCCGAAGAGGAGACGAAGAAACGACTGCTTTCGTGGGGAGATTGCAAGCTGATGATCGCGTAACGAGCCGCTCGCCGTCAACCTGTCTCCAGTGGCCGGAGGGACCAGTCTGGAACTGTTCGATCCTTTGGCACGCGGAAGCGAGCTTCGGGGGTGAGACGAAACGAAAGGTCCTTCCCTTCGGGCCGAACACCTTCCCTGAAACTCCGGAAGAAAGGAAACGATGACGATTCCCGTGTAATTAATAACGCGGATGGCTCCCACGGGCAAGATGCTTCCAGGCGAAACAACGAGGCTAATGGTGGCAGGATCACGAAAGTTTACGGTTAACCTTGCAATTTGCATAACGTCATTTACCAGCCTCAACCCGGCCACCAAGTGTCCACCTTCGCGCTGATCCCTGACCTTTCAACCCGTTTGCGCCCATAAACTGAAATGTGCAGATCACGCCGCGACCGTTCTCGCATTTGCTGGACCGAGCAGAATGGCTTGTATCAGATACCAAGGCACAGCTAGTTCCTTGTTTAACCTCTCCTACAGCCTTGTTCGGTAATGAAACTAACAAGGAATATTAGGCGAGTGATACACGTTGATTTCGTGGATACTCGAAAGAATTGTTAAATTACTCGAAGACCATGCGAGTAAGTTAAGAAGGAGAAACGATCGAAGATATACCCAAGGACGAGAGCGAGCAAAGTTGGACGTCCACTTACCGGGCGCGATAAAATAGCCCAGAAGCCGGGGCTGTCAATTATCGAGCTTTCAGTCGTCGAAAGCCCGGCAAGAAGATGAAGCATCCCGGTGGACGGGACAGAGTGCCTTTTAGGAGAGGCGGACAGGTCCGTTATTCGTAGCTGGATCGGTATACGATTCTCATTCAGAGTATTACCATGTCGGAAGTGAACGCTTTGAATCGTGTCACCGGGCCGCCGGCTTTGAAACCCTTTATATGAAATACCACCGTTACGCGCAGCACGCGATAACAGAGCCGAACAAAAATGGTCGATGCCCATAAACTGGCCGATCAAATGGATCTCGGAAGATTTGCATAAAACGCAGCCACTCGCGATGGAAGCGTTCCGTTGAACCGTCTTGAACCATTTCCAATTAGCAGATAGAAAATCAAGGGAACACCGATCGCGACGATGTTGAAGATCGTTCAGGCACGCACACGCCGATCGTTTCGATCGTTCATTTGCATAACACGCAACGCGCGAAATCGAATTAGCCGTACGCGTAAATGGGTTTCGCCTGGCGGATCTCTCTTCTCGGTCCGCCGTTAACGGCGGTTCCTCGTTTGTCGTCGTTAATGCGGATTTCAAGGCGAGCCTGATCTCGATCTCACGGCCTGTAAAGTCGGAAATCGTGCGGGGAGCCGAGTCTTTAACTAATCACGGAACATCGGCGAGTATCAACGGCGAACCGGGACACAGGATCCACGATGGAAACTTCGCCCACGGTCTCCGAACCGGAGGGGATACGAACAGTCTGTTCCCAGGTGAAGGTAATCATATTCCGCGTTCCACGGTAATGGTGAACGAACGCAGCCTCCGGGCTCTAACGGAACCTATGCCACCAGCACCCCCGTTTCGTTCGACTTGTGGGTGCACCTACCTGCACCTTATACTCAAGCGAAACTCCTAGTCTGCCGTAATTATCGCGCGAACAGCTGTTAGCCGGGATAGAAAAGGTTCCCTGATCGTTATCACACTGTTGTTTCAAACCGCGTCTTCTGATCCGTTAATAAATTTCAGGAGATTCATCTGCTGTCCAATTTTCTCGGATACTCGGGTCAAATGATTCGCGCCGTTTATCCGCTTATAAACTTTTGACGAATCGTACAATTTCTCACCGGTGTGTCCCGGCGAAGATTTCATTTTCCATCGTGAAATCGGCTATGATACGCGTTACCCGTTCGAAACGGCTCGTCCGTCGCGTTCATCGCGCGTCATTAAGCCGCACCGCGACCCGCGCGGAGAATAGCCGTCCGAACCGATCCGTATCGCCTCGTGAAATCGGCCTTTCGGTTGCGGCACGGCCGTATCGAGAGCGCAAGTGAAATTAGTCGCGGTTCGACGAGCCGCGGCCACAACCGGGTCCTGCAAGAAGGAAAGTAAACGCGACTCGCGACGAATCAGGGTGAATCGACGACTCGCCGGCGGATCAACGGCGATCGCGTCGAAAGGGAAACGGTAGGAGGAAAAAGGGGACGCCGAACAGGCTGGCTATGCTAAAACGAGGCGCGCTTGCATTTTCATTCAGGACGTGTCACCGCGTGGGCGTGTCGTTTCTAGCTTGTCACCGGTAACGGCGTCTCTGTTAACGAACGTAGACGCACGACCGGCCGGCAATGCGATAATAGGACAATGGGGACGTGGATTCATTGAATTTCGAAAGGAATAGGCTTGGTCAGAGGCTGGCGGCCCTCTTAATTACGGAATTGTCTTAACATCCTACGTGACACGTTCCAGTATGTACGTCAAGTATACATCTGAAGAAGAGTTAAGACTCGGTTGCTTTGATTCGATGATGGACTACTATCGTATCGACAACTCGACGAATTAAATATAATTTCACCTGTAACGAAATCCTGCGATAACTTATGTCAAAAATCGATCAGTATTACCATTCCATCGAGAAGAATTACAATCGAGAGAATCTTCGCATTGTCCTCTTTACACGGAGCGTCTGCACTTTTCACCTGCGAATACTTCAGCAACCCGCAAAGGCGTGCGTGCTCGTCAATGCCCGTTCATACCCATTCACCGAATTCCTCGGCTCAACGGGCCGTATCCTGAATGCGCAATGACGCGTACCTTCAACCGACTGGATAGAAGCGGGATTCGCCATAGCCGTGTCTCTTCCGATCCGCAGGCTGCAAAAAAAAAGAAGAAGAGAAAAGACGTTAGGGGATAAGCATCCAGCATCGGTAGATTCATTACGATATAGCCCGGCGTGTAATTTACAGGGTCGTTAACGAGCGGTTGCCGAGCTTTCGATGTCACGAGTCGCGGTGCTTCCTTATTCTTTCTCTCTTCCGTTCGATCAACAATGAAAGCGACGATGGAGGAAGCGCGAAGACGACAGGAAAAGATGAAGCCGACGTCTGCAAGAGAAACTACCCACGCCCTTTTATCTCGCTAGCACTTTGTATTAAGCCGCTGTCGCAGGCAACTGGTATGCGCGCCGGCTTCACCAAAGTCCACCTTCCCTTCCTGTCGATTCCTCTTTTTCTTCCTCTCATCCTTCCTCTCCCTCTGTTAACCACTCTCCCCCCTGAAGAACCTCTGAACCACGTTCCTAGCGTACATCATTCCTCCTCCACGCGACTCTTATCAATAGGCACGGGATTAACTTCGATACATCGATGAATTTGAGTCAATTTTTACATCGCCGACTTTGAATACTGATCGTGAGAGCTGATACTTGCGAATACTTTCTAAAAATAGTACCTGTGCTGATCTGCATACCGCGTTGTAATCATCAGAACTGGTCGGTCAAAGTGCGAAGGTATGCGATTGGCTCGCTTCCAGGTGTGGCTATGTGTCCAGCTGTCACTGGTCGACGATTTCAATGGAATAACCTGTGATGGAATAACTGAGACCTTAACGTTCATAGAAACAAAGGCATAAAATAGCTTGTTACACTTATGTTCCGATCATTCTAGGTCAAACTGTTGATATACTGATCTGATTGTCCGATTGAAATTGATTAACAAACCAAGATAGTCGGGGTGGAATAAAAATAGTTAACAGAAGGATTTTTGTTTTCAGGAAACGGAAGAAGAGCGCCGACATGTCGGCCTTGAGCACCGGGCTCTGTCGACCCGGGATTATATTCTGTCTGGCTGTTCTACTGGCATCGCAATCCAATTCTGGTGAGTTTTACGAGCGAATCCGGCGAGAAACTTCTTAGATAGAGGAAGTCGTTTCGCTCTGAGAGACTTTTATCTACTCCTTTCGTCTTGCTTCAACGCCTCCTCGTACATGCTCGACGAGAGGTACGCGTCGAAACGAAACTCATTTGGCAGTGAACAGGTGTACGTGAGATAGCATGAAAAGAAAGCCTCAACGAGGAAGAATGACTCTTACGTACAAGCCTTTTATTCTTTCGTACGTACGCGGATAGAAAAAGAAACAGTGGATACACACGATTATTACTTCGATAAACAAATATACAACCATAAAAAGGGTATTGAATTGATGAACAAGAGATTTGAAGAGAGACTCGATTACAGCAATAAACGTCCTCGAGAATAGCTTCTTATTGTATAAAATATAATACGATCAGTTTGAAGGATAAAGTTTCGTAGCTTTTAGAATCTCAAATACCAAATGTTAAAAATTTTCTTAGTAAAAGTAGAACTTTGAAAAAGAATCAAATCTCGTTTATGCTATCGGTAACCTAAATTGCTTGCAGAGGGTTAAACCTGGGATGACTGCCTAATTTTAATTTAATTCGATATTTCATTAGAGCAAACTATAATTTGAGGATTAAAATCGATAGGAATTTTCATTAGAAACTACCCGAAAAAATTGATCACGACTAATACAATAAGAAGGCGAAGATCCTAGCAGACTAATTTCGCCCGAGGTCGAAACCCACGCACACCTATACAGAATTAATTGTTTGACGATGATGATCGGCTACGTCGAATCTTTCCAAAGTCCTTTTTTTTTCAAACGATCACTATGACTAACACGAGCGGGCAACGTTTGAATGAGCGAGCCAGGGGCTCCATCAGGACATCGAACCTCTCTTTGTCCTTTACTTCCCTACGAGTAGAATCGTCTTACCTCATAATGCTCACCTCTGGCATCGGCCACGTCGAGGCCCAAGGTGCTTTCCCATGGACCTGGCGCACCATATTCGTTCCTCGATGCTTCTCGGGTCGTCTTCACCATCACGAGCCAAGTTCTCTTCGAGGTATCGCATAAGCCTCTTCCGTTTACGTCCAGCCGGTTTTGAATTACGTTAAGGGACTATCCATCCCTTGACTGCTGCGTTCTTCACGATCGATCGAAATCATCCGAGATCGATTAGTCATCCTCCTCGTGTTACGATCGAAATCCTAAAGACCGGTCGATCACTTTCACCCATTGCGTCAGATGAATACGGAGTTCAAGTTCATGGAAACTTTGATCATTGATAAAAGATTATTCGTATCGAATTCTAATTACTCGAAAAAGAATAGGGGATGACACTTGATCCGGAATTGATACCAAGTTAATGTCCATCTCCATCGATTTCCCCTATTGGTAAACGTCGCTACATCCTTCTGTGTTCCTGGTACATGAAGAGAAAAAGAAAAAATGAAAAAATTGCGGCAAATATTAACGTTCGTAATTGCTTCCTGTATCTTAGTCATCCCCCTTCCTGATCTATCAATGCCAGCTCACGATCGATCCTGTTTCTCCACTCTGTACGTACAGAGGGCGAGGATCATTCTCGGAACAGCGTGCTACCTCGAACAGAGCGACGTGCAAAAACGACGTTGCATCGTCAATGAGAACTCATTGGAGATGCGTCGTTTTTTGCCATTCCCCCCCCGATCCCCGCGACGACAATTGGCCGCATCGACGGCTGCTTCGACGAACAGCAGGTGTGGACAAATGGACGTGGGGAACGATTGAATTCTTCCACTACTCGCGCAGAACCCAGCCTCACCGAGTCTTCCTTTTTTCAACTAGATCACTGGGTGATCTTGTCCCTCGCTCGAGCACCTTGCACGTTTTTATCGCAGCTTCCCTTTCAAGCGAACGGACATCGAGATCGACGCGATCTAGCCACCATCTGCCAGCATTTCTTCCAGAGGATCGGCTCGTTTGACGGACGTTTGCTTTCGAGAAAATAATCGTTATTCCCGAGGCATCGAAGTAATCGAGCCGCAAAAACCTGCTAGTTTCGTTCACCGTTCCAACGATTTTCAAATTATTCTCGATTATCTGATTTAATTCTAAAAATGATGATTTGAAAAAAGACGAGGGAAAGAAATTTTGAAATCTTCACGGAAGCACGAAGAGGAAAAAAAGAATGCGTGTCGTTGGTACACACAGCTGCACGAATAGCGGTTCCTATACTTGCCTGCATCCACGTGATGCTGTGAATTCTGGTCAAACCTGTAAGCCCTGAAGAGACGGCTTCGTCGGGATGTCACTGACCGCGTACTTCACCGTTGCCCACTTACGGTCCATGTCGTCGCACCTGACCCTCCGGCCGTTCCATATTTATGCTTTAATGCCGGCCGAAGTGTCGTTATCTTCGAGTATCGTTCAACTGTCCTTCCTTGTTACCCGTTTCGATACCGCTTCAACACGCTTCCTGTAAAACATTATCGAGTAAGCTGACGTCTCGAGAACTCGGTCCTTGGAATTTCCATTACGCGCAACTTTGGTACCATGTTGCAAAATCGATACCGTTAAATTCCTCGGTGAGATTAATCGAGCTCACCTACGTCAAGCTAGAATTTATTAGAAGATTAAGAAAAGCTTTGAAATTGAATACTGTGCAATTTTAACGGCGTAAGATTAAAAAATCGTTAAATTTCAAAATTTAAATAAAGATCGTTCCTTTAATTAAACGAACTCGTTAATTTAGAATTTAGACCGTACACTTCATTCGACGAGTTTTAATTAAAAGCAAGGTAATTTCAAGCCTCATTTTCTTCGTACATTTACCAGGCAAACAGCAGTCGGATATCAAACACGGTTGGACAAACACATTCTAGTTTATTTGCTTTTACCTCTGTTGTTTGAGCATAGCCGTGTATCGTAGCTCGTTAGAGGAGTAATTAATTTCCGTTACGACCAGCAGGAGTAAGCTCGCGTCTTTTGACCCTGACGCGCGTCGAATGCTGTTCCGAGGATCACGGTGTCGCGTTGCGTCGCGTCGGTCCGCCGCCACGCCAGACACCGAATTCGGCCGGGCACTTAAAATTCGGGACGTGTAAAGGAGCGGTAAAGTAAACGTAGCGGTGAACTCCCATTAACAAAGGTACACGAACAGCGTGCTTTGTACAAACACTCCTGCATAATTAGTTGGTTTTCCTAACGCCTTGTTTCTTTCGTACCTAAAACCATTACGTAACCGTGGCCGAAGATTCGTCGAGTGCACTCGAGGCGAACGGTGACTTCGTCGACGAACACAGGCCATTGATCCGAATTCAACCATTCACCTGGTTATTTTCTTTACAAGCTGACCTTGAAACAACTACGCTCGAGGATTTTCACCTTTCCCTACCTTCGTTCCGACGAGCCTCGTTTGCTCTTCTCTGCTCTATTTACGAACCCTTATCGCTTCCTCTCGTTTACGATCATCGTCGCACACGTTTTACGACGGAAGCCAGCATCTACAGCTGGGTATAAACGATAAACCGACGATGCCCCGAGGATGATGGTCTGGTGATGCAGTAGAATGCAGAAGAGAGGCCCGTTGTAACTGGTACATACTTCGTAAGAGGACCTGCTCGTTCCCGCGTTCCCTCTGCTCTTTTCCTACTTTCATCCTTCTCCCCGCCTTTCTTCGTTACCTTACCACCGAGGTGACGAGGTCAGCGGCGGTCATTCGACGAAGGGGTATAACGGAACGCGTGGGTGCAACTTGGTCGTGACACGGATTAAATGATCGTATTAATTCCAAAGAGGCATCGCGAAAGCCTGGAATGCCGAGGCCTCCTTTCCTCCTACGGTATTCGCTTATTGGGGAAAAATCAGTTAAGCTTATTCTCCTGCTACCGAAGGAAGGTCAATTTTCAATCCAAGTTTATGATACAGGATGTACATTGAGCATCTGTGATCATTAATAATTTCATGAAAGGGCTGGAACGTTTTGTAAGATCGAATTAGAATCAAAAAGAAACTGTAGGTGTCTGTTGCTTCAGAATTAATTCACCGTTCGTTAACTACGAAGGTGGTTTCGAAATTCCTAACCTTGAGGATGACGAACAGGATGGATAGACTCGAAGTAGTTAACGCTTCCTAGTCTCTTTTTTGCAAAATTATCAAACGTACGTACAGTTTACAAATGCGATACATCATCTAATTACAGCGTAACAAATTATAGCTGACGTCAGAAGCTGGCCACAAGCCACCTGTCTTCAACTTTTCATCTTATCGCGAGTAAGCGGCAATGAACTCGATTGAAAATAGCGGATAATTTATGATTGTCCTCGAAATAGTCTCGTCGCAGTGAACGAGTACATACTCGCATATTACGGCAGAACCGGTCGGCCAACTTCTCTCCACGCAACACGCTCGATAGCTACCAATGACATTGACATTGACTGTCGCAGCGAGTACCAGTGTCGATACTTTCCGATTCATCACGGGAATTTTTATTTTCCCCATTAACCCTTCAACGACGGAGTCCGAGTCAATCGAAACTCAAATTTAAAAAACATGTACGATGATTAGAATTAGGGCTCTCTCCATGGTCCGCCGTCAGACGGTTGTTAATGAATTGGCCTTCAGTGAAATAATTTGTAAATATATAACCCTGATGATATAAAGATCTAAAATAAGATTGAATACTTAATACTTAATGACCAATCGATGACATGTAACATCTAAATTAATTACTAGGATTTACAGACTCTAGTAGAGATAACGTCACATTATAAAAACACATTATGTTAAAATATGAAAAGACTACGAGACGTCAATGACTGTGAATGTGTTAACAAACGATGAATGGACTTCTCTACAAATAAGTCAAACTGGTACGTCGGGTTTGCGTAACAGACTACCATACAGGAAACGAGCTGAAGATCCTCTAAATAGTTACAACATCGTTCGAAATGAATTAAATATCATCAGTGAACTCGTATATTACCCGTGTTGTTCGAATTCTAAAATCGAATTATCATTTGCGGCAAACGTATTAACGGAGCACTTCGTTTGACACAACGAGGTTCGGAATGATTTCATCTTGTTTTTCACGGTTGCCACGAAGGATTCCATGGTGGTTGCGGTGGAGGTTAACCACGACCTTGGTAGACACGTAGTGCAGAATTTCGTGCACGCGATACGCGTTGCAGAGCAGAGAAACCAGCTGCTCATCGGAGCGTGTGCGGTTGATGGTAATGAACTTTCGCGAGGCAAGGCCGTCGGGGATGATTTCATAACCCGCGCGCAATGCCTTTGCACTCGCTCGACTCAATCTCTCCTCTTCCCTCCGACTGGTATCTGAATTATTTCTCCTTTTCTCTCGAGTAGCTGTCGCGTGGAGTACATTCGGTACGGAGAAGGAGGATCGGTAATTGAAAAGCAACCGAGGTAAAGAGCGAGCAAGAGTCGGATAATCGGAGAACATTGACTTACATAATGACTCGTTGCCAGTCTTCGAGATGAATAAGATCTGACCTCGATTACCGCTCGTGCGAATACATGAATTTTTACCCGTTCCTCGAGGCGAGATCGCGATTATTGTTGAACACGATAAGCCTGCAAAGGCCGGTCGTTTGTCCTTGGTTAATTACGAGAACGACGGAGTTCCGTGATTAAACCACCTGTTCGCTACGAAATCACCGGAACTTTCCTCCCTCGATAAAAGCGCGCAGCTGAAGCGTACGGGACACATTGTTCTTAGAGATTCTTTGTCGCATCGATAACAATCCCGTTAATTGATCGTTCATCGATTGTCTTTGGATCCACGAGAAGATAATGAACTATTCCCCTTCAACGATTCGTAGGCGGGTAACACAGTGATTCCTCGCACCTGTAGCGTTCTGCTGGAAATCTAGTTGTCGTAAATTTCTCGGGACTCCTTATCCCCTCGTTGAACGAATACAAAGCGAAGGTAATCCGCGATTGTAATCACGCGTGATACGCTGACACCTGGATGAAGCGTCGTTGGTCAGGGGACGGTTAGCGAAGCTAGCCGAACAGCGGCAATAATTTAGCACAGGCACCGTGGAAGACAAGAATCGTCTCGGTGGAGCAATGTACACACGTACGTGATGGGCCCCGTGTAACGTGGAGGCACGCGGCTGGGAGCCGTTCGTGGGACTCGCGAGAGAGACACGATGGCCCTTCCATTCACGGACCTCGGTGTGCCTTCCCAGTACAATTCAATTCGCTGGAAACCGCCTGCACGCTCCGCGCCGTGGAATGCTGATTCTCGAATATGCCTTGGCTCGCCTGCGACACGCACGCATGGAAACGAATGTCCGTGCTGGACGGGAGCACCTTGCGGAAACGCACGCGCCGCGCATTTCAACCTCGCGCCTTCGAGTCGCGGATCGACTTCCGATCGAGCTGACTACTCGGTTCCCACCGTTTTCCCACCTCTACCACGAACGCGTGCTTCTCAACACTTCCTATTCTTAGCCGGCTCGGTTCTCGTCATCGATTTCCCTCGTCAATGCATTTATAATTAACCCCTGATTATTTTACTAAATTCCCAAGTGTACTAAATTCAAATCAGAGATCTTCTATCTCGTTCCTTTTCAAAATAAGTAAGGATGCTCGAAAGTTTTCGAGAGTAAAAAAAGAACGCGACTCGAGGAAGTCGACTTAGCATAAAACCCAGAAAAACGTTCGTAACCCATCTTCGCATGTAATAAATCTGCCAGCTCGGTACATTCAATGAAAGGGTTATAGTGGACATTCGCAAACCTTTGCCTCGCATTGCACGTATCCGCGTACGGCTACGTTTTGTGCATTTCAAGGAGTTCCTGGACGGTTTTTCAAAGGAGAAAAAAAAAAAAAAAGAGTACCGCCGGTAAGACTTTCGAAAAGAGGACACAATGTATCGTTTGGGAATTCGTACAGCCCTTCGTGGATTCCATAAATTCACGGTTACCGGGATTGTCGTTCGTATTCTTCTGGCATCCCCGAGAGGCGCTCCGTACGCGATAACGAAAACGCGTGTCGAGGAGAAAGAGCAGAGAAGAGCCTATCGGGGTAAGAACGAAGGGTGGCGCGTCGTTTTTCACGAACAATCGAACGCTCGAGTCAGACGCGGCGCGCATGGCGGCACTTGAATTGCCGAAAGAAATTGCGAAAACACCGGGCGTAAGATGAGACTCCGAGGGATCCGTACGGATTGCAATGCGCGAAAGAGTTCACGGATACGCGTTACTGCCTCGGATGTGTCAACGAAACGGCCGAAAGAAAAGCGACGAGAGAAACAGAAAGGGAGAGCGAGCGCACAGAGTTCTGTGTATTCCATGTGCACTCGCCATACAATTCGTTCGGCTAGGGGCCTAGGGTGTTAACGAGAATTCGCCCACGCACGTTCGCGCCATATGACGCTTTGACTCACTTCGTTGTTAAGCCTCGGTTCACCCTCCGGACAAACGCATCCCGCCGGTAATTACTATGATAAACTGCACGCACCGGAGACACGACTCGTCTCCCTGCGAATTTCATGGGAAATGGAGTCTACCAAGATTATTTGCCGTCGCATTCTGCGGCGTTCCACGGTCTGACTCCTAATCCTAGATTACCTAATAACGTACATCTAATTTCAACCTGGCAAATTGAAAAATGATAAATTTTCCAAATAAAAATGAGAAAAGCACGAGACGAAGTTAACGGAATGGTTATCGTTTCTGTTACAGCGCCCGTATACGACGAGTATACCACACAAGTAGCAGAATACGATGGAGGTACGTACAGTGTAGTGACTTTTATTACCCCTAATCAATGTACGAGCACGGGACACCGACGTGACGTTAATTGTATCGCAGCCAAACAGACGATGGCACGTGCCGTTTCAACGATTCTTACACGACGTCGCTTTCAATCGATCCTTTCGATGAATATTAAGAGTGTCCGACATTATTCGATCCTCGTGTCGCGTGTACACCGTTTTGCGAACGCTTCTCCTCCTTAGATTGCACCGCGTCGCACCGAATCGTAAATCGAAAGTAAATCTTAAATTTACCAGTCCTTAGGTTAGATAAGTGATACATCTTAATTATGAATATCTAATTATTTGATACCTTGTGCAACAGCCACAGCCGGATGCTATTACAATTACCAGCACTACAACGAGGGTGACCGAATAATCACGAACGAGCCATGTCTGAACTGCACCTGTCACAACCGGATGCTGATGTGCTATCTGAGAGTCTGCCCGTTCACGAAGGCGATCGGCCAGGACTGCACCGTTGAGAAACGTCCGGATCAATGCTGTCCCGTGATTACCTGTCCGGAAGTACCGGTGCAGTTACTCACCTCGACCACTAACGCACCGGCGATGCCCGGTTCCACTGCCCTCGGCTTCCACGATAACTATGGCTGCAACGTTAACGAGAGATTCTTCGCGGACGGTGCCCAATTGCCCGTCGATCCACAGAATCCTTGCGAGTTGTGCTATTGCATCAGGAACAGGACCACTTGCGTGATGCAGGAGTGCACACTCCGCGTGGCTGGATGCAGGCCAGTCTATCAACCCGGCGTATGTTGTCCGGTCAAATACAATTGCGGTGAGTTGATCTGAAACATTATTCAATAATGTTATTAAATGAAAGTATTTGGGTTAATCGATTGAAAATCTTCAACAGAATACGACGAGGAACTTTCAACGACGGTTGAACCGACGCCTGGCCTGATAATGACAACCACGATGGCTCCTGGAGCGACGCCGCAGTGCTATCACGAAGGAAAGATTTACGAGGACGGTGATTTGATTTACTCGACGCAACCTTGTCAACATTGCTACTGTTTCCGCGGTGACATCGCGTGCGCGGTCCAAGACTGCGGAACGCCCATGAAGACCCACGGAAAGAACTGCACCGCTGTGCCACCGCCCGAAGGGGAATGTTGCCCGACGACCTACGAGTGTGGTAAGAACAACATAATTATGTTATACAGGTAATGAAATTTCTTTTACGCGTGTCGCTACATAACCTGAATTATTGCACAGAAGATGACGGACATGGTGGTGTCGTGATGCTACCAAAAGAAGAGGAAGTGTCTACCGAGGAGCACATCCTGGAGACCACAGCATCGACCGTAATGGAAGCCGAGAAGGAGGCCGCGGAACCTGAAACGACCGAAGAATCCTTCCCAGGTTCTGACAACGTTATTCCCGAGGATCACAAAGCAGCAAGCAGCACCCAGGAACCTGCCGAAGCTTCATCCGCTGCCACTGAAGAACCTAAGAAGGAGGAACTTCCAACAGAAGAAAGCGCTACTCCAGAGTCTACAACGACGCAGCAAGAAGTTTCGAAAGAATACACGACCGAGAGCGTTGTTTCTCCTACGGAACCGGCAGTCAAGCTGACGGAACCATCTCAGGAAGCTGAAACTGAAGCAACCGAGGCACCAGCCGTTGAAGAAAAGGGTGAAGAAGTGACTAAAATAGCGGAAGAAGAAGCTACTCGAGCAGCCACTGAACCGTCGATCGCTCCGGAAGTACCGGAGTCGTCTTCACCGAAATCAGAGGTTCAACCTGAGGAAGCAACTACGATGAAGGAAGAGAAGGAACCTAAACCGATTACCGAAGAAGCGATGCCGGAAGAGGGACAAACCGAGGTCACGCCAGAGAAAGAAGAACAGCCTGAACAGCCAAGTACCGAGAAACCGGAAGAAGAAACGAAGGTAACCGAAGAAGGTGTACCTAGTTTGGAGCACGAACCAAGCACGACTGAAGCTACCTTGCCCAAAGAAGAGCAACCAACTGAAAGAGCTGAGAAATCTACAGAAGCGCCAGAGCTTCCGAGCGAGGAAAAAGAGACGTCGCCAGTTGCTGAAGCTGAAGTAACTACGGCTAAGGGTTTGGTCGAAGAACAAACGACTGAAGCGGCTAAAGAAGCGGAAACGCCTTCGCTCGTTTCAGAACCGGAACAGAAGGTAACGACGGTAGCTTCAGTTGAAGAAGAAACAGAAAAGGCTGCGACACCTGAGGAAGTATCTTCTGAGAAACCTGCTCAGGAAATTCCAAGCACTGAACAAGCTCCGGTTGAAGAGGAAGGAAAAGAGAAACCATTAGAAGTTAGCCCAGAAGAGCAACAACCAACGGAAGCTGGTGTTCTTCTCGAAGAACAAGGAACTACCGAGGCTGCGGTTGAACGGAAACCAGAAATGCCGGAACACAAAGCTCCTGAAGAAATGCCTGCATTGGCTCCCAAGAAAGAGGACTCGCTTATTCCTGAAGAAGAACTCATGCCCGCTATGACAGAGAAGCCTCCCGTTGAAGAGGAAGAACTCCCTGAGATTCCGGAGCAAGGACCTCCTGGTATTCCTGTGACCGAGCGTGTGCACGAGAGCAAAGCTGAGGACCAGGAAGCGGTCACTGAAGTTCACGTGACCCAAGGTTACGTCGACATGAAACCACCAGAATTCCATGTGCCAGGAAGTCTTGTTACTGAAGCACCTGAGAAAGCACCAACGACATACCTTCCTCCAGTAGCGGAAACAACAGCAGCTCCAAAGCAACAAGAGACAACGCCTAGCGAAGAAGAAGGAATTGATGTAAGGATACCAGAAGAGCCTTCCGCTACTGAAACCTCGGTACCCGAAGAACAAGAAAAAACAGAGAGTGCTCCAGCGATGACCGAAGCTCCTCAGGTTCCAGGTGAACAGAAAGAAACGACGGAAGGTGCTCCTCAAGGTACCGAAATTACTCCTGGTGAAGAGATCTCAACATCGACGCAACAGGCTCCACAGGAACAAACTGAACAAACGGAGAAACCAGGTGTACCGGAAGAAAGTACTGAAGTTTCATCGTCCGAAGTTCCACCGTCGAAGGAAATTGCAGAAGAGTTGCCAACGAAAGGACTCACCATTCAAGAATCTGGAGAAACCTCTTCCGAGGAAGTCAGTGATTTCAGCGAAGAAGTAACTCCTGCTAAAGGTAAACCAGCTGAGGAAGAACCCGAGAAACATGCATCTGAAGCACCTGCACCGGAACATCCAACGGAGCAGCCAGCTGTTGAAGAACAGACGGTAGAAACTGAGAAAGCAGTTACCGAAGGCGCTGTCTCCTCGACGGAAATTCCACGTGTTGAAGAAGCATCCACGGAAGTCAGTGAAGTTCCGGAAGAGAAACCTGTAACAGAAAAGGAACCGGTTAGCGAAGAAGAGAAAGAAATTACAGCTGGTCCGGAAGAAAAGCCTGCTACTGAAGCAGCCGAAGAACAGGTGACTGAGAAACCAAGTGTCGAAGAAACTCCAGTCACAGCTAAGGTACCTGAAGCTGAGGAAGCAAGTACAGCACAAGTTCCAGTAGCTGAAGAAGGTGAAGTAAGCGAGAAGCCTGTTGTGGAAGAAGTTCCAAAAGAGGCAACTACACCGGAAGCTGAAACTTCTGCAGCACCTGAGGAACCAACTGAAGGTGAGAGACCAACAGAACGCACAACGGTTGAGGTTTATCCAACAGTGACTGTAGAAGAAGAGCAGAAGACAGAGAAACCAGAATCCACGGAACGACCCGCTGTTGAACAGACTGAAGGTCCAGTGACCAAAGAATCATCCACTGAAGCAGCACCGGAAGAACAAAAGACGGAAGAGCCTACAGGTGTGAAGGAGGAAGCTCCAACCGAAGGACCAATGGCTGAAGTACCATCGACTGAGGAAACAATTACCAAAGCAGAAAAGGAAGAAACTGAAGTTCCGGTTAAGGAACATACACCAACTCCTGGTCCCATTTCTGAACGTAAAGAGGACGAAGGAATAACGGAGAAGCAGCCTGAAGAACGACCAGAGGGAATGGAAGGCGTTCAGAGGCCATCTCTTGAAGAAGAGAAGCCTACTGAAAAGCCAATGGAAGAGGAAGGAACATCTGCAATGCCTGCTTCTGAAGAGCATGTAACTGAAGAGCCTATTGAAGAAGGAAAGCCTGAAGAGAAAGAACCAAGTGAAGGACCTGCTGAAGAAGAAAAGGAAACTGAAAGTCCTGTTGAAGAGCAGAAACCTGCAGAGGAAGGACAGTCAACTGAGGCACCAGCTGAAGAAGAGAAACCTGTAGAGGAAGGAAAGTCAACCGAGGCACCAGCTGAAGAAGAGAAACCTGTAGAGGAAGGAAAGTCAACCGAGGCACCAGCTGAAGAAGAGAAACCTGTAGAGGAAGGAAAGTCAACCGAGGCACCAGCTGAAGAAGAGAAACCTGTAGAGGAAGGAAAGACAACCGAGGCACCAGCTGAAGAAGAGAAACCTGTAGAAGAAGGAAAGTCAACCGAGGCACCAGCTGAAGAAGAGAAACCTGTAGAGGAAGGAAAGTCAACCGAGGCACCAGCTGAAGAAGAGAAACCTGTAGAGGAAGGAAAGTCAACCGAGGCACCAGCTGAAGAAGAGAAACCTGCAGAGGAAGGAAAGTCAACCGAGGCACCAGCTGAAGAAGAGAAACCTGTAGAGGAAGGAAAGTCAACCGAGGCACCAGCTGAAGAAGAGAAACCTGTAGAGGAAGGAAAGTCAACCGAGGCACCAACTGAAGAAGAGAAACCTGTAGAGGAAGGAAAATCAACTGAGGCACCAGCTGAAGAAGAGAAGCCAGTGGAAAAAGAGAAACCAACTGAGGAAGAACCTATTGAGAAAGAAAAACCTGTAAAAGAGGAGAAACCAACTGAAGCTCCTGCAATAGAAGAAAAGCCCAGTGGAGAAGAGAGGCCAACTGAGGGTCCTACTGAAGAAGAAAAACCAAGTGAGAAACCCATGGAAGAAGGTAAACCTACTGAAGAACCTGCTGAGGAGGAAAAACCTACTGAAGGAGTTGTTGAGGAACAAAAACCAGCTGAAAAGGCTATGGAGGAAGGAAAACCTACTGAAGAAGAAAAACCAATTGAAGCAACTGTTGCAGAGGAAAAGCCTAAGGAAGAAAAACCCACTGAAGAAGAGAAGCCTGTGGAAGAAGTAACTGGAAAACCTGCAGAGGAAGAGAAGCCAACCGAAGAAGGAGTTCCTGAAGAGGAAGAACAAACTCAGGTACCTGCTGAAGGAGAGAAACCTTCAGCGGAAGAGAAACCAACTGAAAGGCCAAGCGAGGAACAAACACCGACAGAAGGACTTGCTGAAGAACAGAAGCCAACTGAAAAATCTGTGGAAGAAGAGAAACCAAGTGAAGCGACACCTCCTCAGGAAATTGTACCAGTATCTGTAGAAGTTCCAACAGAAGGTCCAGTGACTGAAGAGAAACCATCCGAAGGTCCAGTGGCTGAAGAGAAACCATCCGAAGGTGCTGAGGAGAAACCAACCGAAGGTGCTGAAGAGAAACCATCCGAAGGTGCTGAAGCTGTACCCACAGAAACTCCCAGTGCAGGAGAAGGTACTAGTACACCCGTTCCTAAGGAACAACCTGAATTGCCAACAGAAGTTCCAAAAGAGGTACCCGAAGTTTCAACGATCGGTGCTGAAGGAGTCTCGCCAACGGAAGAAGCTCAAACGGAGGGTGGTGTGCCACAAGAAAAATCGACCGAAGCTCCTGCAATCCCTGAAGAACCCACAACAGTGCCTAAATTAGCTCCAGAACAACCTGCCGAAGAAGAGAAGGTACCCGAAGAAGTTACTGAAAAACCAGAACTCCCAGCTGAAGTATCATCGACACCAACAGTTCCAAGCGAAGAAACCACTGAACAAGAAGTTAAACTGCCCGAAGTAGGTGTCAGCTCTGAAGCACCTGAAGTATCATCCGCTCAGCCTGAAGTCTCCGAAACCACAGCACTTCCTCAAGAAACAAGATTACCGGAAGAAGAACAGAAAGTCTCGCCTCCTGAAGAGGTAGCAACGAAAGTGACCGTACCGACTGAGGAAGCTACGCAAACTCCTCAGGAAAAGGAAACAGAAGCTCCATCTGTAGAGGAGAAGATAGCAGAACCATCGACTGAGAAACCGACCAAGGAGGAAGGTCAACCAGAAACTACGCCACATGCGGAGATACCGAAGGTAACGACCGAACAAGTTGTCGAACAGACAACCACAGCTGAAGTTGAACAGGAAACGACGTCAGAGTATCCGGTTCACGTACCAGCAGCGATTCCAGGAGAAGGCAACTGTCTGGTCGAAGGACAATCTTACAGCAATAATTCTGCTGTGCCTCCTGCTAATGCCTGTCAACTCCGTTGTCAGTGCGTCAGCAGCATCATTCAATGCGACCTTGTTAAGTGTCCACCGCCACCTTCTCATCTGTCCAACTGCATGCCCGTGTACGCGGGCAAAGACGCCTGCTGCCCTATGTACAGCTGCGACTCGACGCCTACGGCGGGTCTGGAATCTGGCAATCATATGATCGAACCAGAAGAAAAGGAGCAGAAGACTGTGTCACCTTCGGTCAGCGAACCTACAACGGAACCTGCCGAAGGCGTTAAGGAACCATCGACGAGCCCAGCACCTGAAGCGCCCACACCCAGCGAAGAAACTGTTGCGCCTAGTTTGACCGAGGAGCCGCAAACGACGCCTAAATCCGCCGAGCCTGAACACGTACAAACCACTCCCGTCGGAGAAACTGCCAAAGAAGCTGAAGAGCACACCACGCTTAGTCCAGTGTCTCCGGGGCAGGTAGAGTCTTCTAGTCAAATTCCTGCAGAGGAGACGAAAGAACCTTCGGAAGTGCCAAGTACACCGGAGAAGGCTGAAGAAGAGCAGGTAACGAAGATTCCATCTACCGAACGACCAGTCGAAGCTCCTGAAGAACAGCCATCGAGTCCAGCTGCTGGTGAAGAACAGACGATCGTAACAACGGTAGCCAGTGAGAAAGAACAAACTACCTCTGAAATTGAAAAGGAACTTGAAGCTTCTACCATGAAACCAACGAGCGAACAGCCGTCCGAAGGACAGAAACCTGAAGAAGAGCAGCAACAAGCAACAGTTTCCCCTGTGGTTCCGGAAGAAGGTGTTACCAAGGCAGCCGAAGTTCCAAGTTCATCCATGGCACCAGAACTTACTTCAGAAGGCCAACCACCGTCGGTTACCGAAGGTCAGAAACCATTGGAAGAAGGAAGTACCGTAGAATCAGTTACTCAGCCTGAAGAAGAGAAAGAAAAGGAACCAACGCCGATTGAAGAAGAACCACCTGTTCAACCTGAACAGCCGACAACAGAGGGTGGACTATCGACTGCTGGTCAACCAAGTGAAGCGGAAACTGAAAGACCATCCTCTCCTGCTGAAGTAGAAACATCTACTCCAGAGCAAAAGGTCACAGAAGGTGAAGAACAGGAAGTCACCCCTGTAGAACAAGAAACTGTTAAACCTTCGTCTGCAGAAGGTGAAATTCCCACTGAACCAACGGTAAAAGAAGCCTCTACGTTAGCTCCAGTGTCTCTTTCTGAAGAAGTAACTGTTCCGGAAGTAACTAAGGAAGAACCAACTGGTACCGAAGGAGCCACAGAAGAAACTGTGACAGAAACCAGCAAAGAAGCGGAAACAACCAAGAAACCACTTCCTGAGGAAGAACAAGGCGTGATAACTGAAACTGAGCAACCCCCGGTACCTACGGTCGAAGCTGAAGAACAAACCAAAGAAACTCCTGCACCCGAGGGCATGGTTAAGGCGACCACGGAAGCTGCTGAAGAGCACACCGAGCTTCCTGAAGAACCTGAAAAATTACCCGAGGTACCAAGTTCTAGCGAAGCTGCTGAGGCTGGTACTGAACAACCATCGGTGTCCATCGAACCTGAAGTAACACCAGAAAAGGAAGGAGTTACAGAAGAGCAGCAAATTACTGAAAAGGTACATGAAGAAGGTGCACAACCCGCTGTGTCTGAAGATAGGCAACCAGAAGTTACTCCATCCGCGGAGGAACAAACTCCCGAAGCAGTTTCACCTGCTGAAGAAGCAACACCGTCTGTAGTTTCTGAAGGAGTTACTGAAGGAGTACCTGAAATAACCACTCCGAAAGCAGTGTCTGAATCTACATTACCTGAAGAACAAACTGAACCTGCAGTGGAGAAGCAAACGGTACCTGTTGAAACGACCGAAGAAGCAGTCACGGAAGGAGTTAAGGAAGTAGAACCTACAGAACCAGAACAGCCTGTACGACCGGAAGAGCAACCGACGACTGAAAAAGTACCAAGTGCTCCAGTCGAAGGTGAAGTACCTGCAACTACAACATCACCTAAACTCCAAGTTCCGGAACATGCGACGGAGAAAGAGGAAGAGGTCACAGAAGCCCTCGATGTCAGGACAGGAACGGAACCGTCAACTGAACAGGAAACTGCTGCGCCAGTAGTTGTTGAAACTCCCGAAGAACCGAAACCTGAAGAGGGAACTCAAAAACCAAGCGTAGAAGAGGGTACGTCTGTAGAACCGACCAAGATGCCATTATCTGAAGCCGAAGAACATCTTAGTTCAACCGCTTCACCAACGGTACTCGGCTCCACGCCAGTTCCTGACTTCGTTTTCCCCGAAGATGGAATCGAGGAACATAAACCCGTAACAGAAGGTGTACCTGAAGAGAAAGCAACAACGGTGCCAAGCGAGATGAGTCCAATTCCCGAGGAACAACCATCTGTTACCGAGAAGGAACCAGAAGAACCTGTACCAGAAGTAACGCAACAGACAGAAGCACCTTCAATGGAAGAGGAAACAGGAAAACCACCAGCAGAAGAAGAAAAGGGAGAACCTGAAGCTCAAACAACCCCGGCAGTGGAGACTGAAAAGACGACTGAACCTGCTGTTAAGATACCTGTCGAAGCTGCTTCAACTGAAACGCCAGAGAAAGCAGTTCCTAGTGAAGCACCAGAGCAAGAACTTCCTGGAGTGTCCGAGAAGGTGCCGGAAGAAGGTACCGAGGTACCCGTGAAAGCCACCGAAGTTCCTGAAGAGATCGCTCCTAGCACAGAGGCTCCAGAGAAAGAACTTCCTGAAGTATCAGAGAAACTTCCTGAAGTAACCTCTGAAGCACCTGAACAAGGCTACTCGACTGAGGCTCCCGAGAGAATAACACCTGCTGAAGAGGTACCAGAGAAAGAGATTCCAACTGTAGCACCAGAGAAGGCAGTTACCACCGAAGCACCGGAGAAAGAAATTCCAACTGTAGCACCAGAAAAGGCAGTTACCACCGAAGCACCAGAGAAAGAAATTCCAAGCGAAACTCCTGAAGAGATTGTACCTACTGAAGCACCAGAGAAGGTCCTTCCAGAGGAAGAAGGTACTGAAGTACCAGTGAAGACCCTCCCTGAAGAGGCACAATCTACCGAAGAAGCAGAGAAAGAAAAGCCTATGGAGGAACCTGAAAAGATTCCAGAAGAGGAGAAACCAACAGAAGCTGAACAACAGACGGCACAACCTGAAGAAGAAAAGACTCCACAAACTACAGAGGGTGTTCTAATCAAAGAACAAACACCAAGCGCAACTGAATCTCCTCAGGTTGAAGAAAAGTCGACTGTGCTTCCAATTACTGAAGAACAGCCAGTACCATCGCCTAGCACACCGGCTCCAGAACTTGAAGCGACCTCTCCTCGCGAAGAACAAGCTGTCACGGTAGAATCCACGGAAACGCCGGTTGTTCCCGAAGAACAGGAAGTCTCGACGAAGGAACCTGAACCGAGCCAACCGTCGGAAGAACCGCAGCCTGCTGTTCCTCCGGAAGTTCAGCCAACTGAAGCTCCGATCGAATCATCGACCGAACAGGAAGTAGAGAAACAGCCAGAAACTGAAAGAACTCCGGAAGCAGAGCAAACGGTTCAACCATCGACGGAACTGCCCGAGGAGAAGAGTACCGTGGAACCAACGATACCTGAAGAGCCCAAAGAGGAAGGTATTTCGATGAAACCTGAAGAAGGTCCACAGCCTACCGAACCGTCTGTCGAAGAACACGTCACGAAAGCTCATCCTCTTCCAACGGAACCCAGTCTCGTGGAACCCACGGACGAAGGACAAGAACCAGAAGTAGAAGGTCATCCAGGTCACGGAGCTACGTCACCAGAAACTGTTCCGACAACCGAGAAAGAAGAATTGCCCGAAGGTCAGCTCACGATTGGGGATGAAGAACACGTTCAACCGGTTAATCAGACCGAGGTTGCCGAAACACCTGAACATCCTAGCGAAGGTACGAGTACCTCAGCTCCGCAGGTACCCGAATATCCAGAGCAACCGGTGCCTGGTGAGGAAACTCCACCCTTCCCAGGGCAAGAGGAAGAATACCCCGACGAAGACGATCAAGCGATCTACGGACCGGGCACTTGCCGATACGGTGGCAAGGTCTACGTATCGGCTCAACAGATACCTAGAGACGATCCTTGCGACTTCTGCTTCTGCTTCAGAAGCGACATTATCTGTCTGCAACAAAGCTGTCCGCCACCGATCTCAGGATGTCACGAGGAGCCCATCAGCGGTTTCTGTTGCCCGAGATACGAGTGTCCTGTCTCGATGGCCACGTCGATGAACGTCACCACGACAACGACCACCACCACGACCACGTTGCCGCCTCACTTCCACGCCCACGCGTACAAGGGAGCCGCGAAACGAAGCGGCTGTCAAATTCGCGGACAAGCGTACCGCGTTGGAGAAGTCATTAGGTCCGCGTCGGGACCTTGTCTTCAATGCACGTAAGTTATCGGAATAATTAATCCTTAGAATACTTATTGAACAGATTATACACACGTTGAGGGTTAATCTTTTTCTTATGGGAGGTGGGGAAATACATGATGGGACCTGGTTAGGGCCGAAAATTCCTAGCCCTAGATGACCGAAGTTAATTAAGAGTGTAGATATCGAAAGAAGAGGAATGATTGCAATAAATAATTTGAAATTTCAGTTGCGGAGGGGACGGTAACATGAAGTGTGATCCACGAGTGTGCAGCCCGGAACCAATGCTGAGGCAAATGATCGCGGCAGCCACGGCCAGAAGAAGGAGATGAGCCAGCCAATTCGATCCCAGGGATCCGACGAACAAATTTACACGCGAGACGGAGTCTAATGCAGGATCAGTGTTGTATAAAAGTGAATTAAAAAATATTCTAAACTATGTCGCGGAACACAGACTGTAATGTGCTTCGGCGATCACGAACTGAGTGGCCAAAACGTAAACGTTTTATATTATAATATTATATTATATTATGTTATATATATGAAAAAAAAAATGCGAAAAAGATAGAGGTAGGAAATAGAAGGTGAGATCGTTGAGAACGTGAAATGGAATGGACTCAAAAAAATGGGATTTAGCCTTGTAAGGAAGGGCTCGTTTTCCGGTGCCAAACGTGATAGAGAAGGAAAGTAAGCGACGAAAGTGATTAGTTCCACGTCTCACGCCATTTTTTTACGAATAAATGAAACGATGGTTATGGAAGATGAAGCAGAAGAAGAAAAGCGTTAAAAAAAAAAAAAGATATATAAGTTGATGAACGTATGAGACTTATGACTGTGCCTTCGTCAGTGTCGACAACATCGGCACTACTTTCGTTCCGTGGCAGCCAAAACGGGGCCGATTTGAGCCACGATCATCGTCGTTGGGGTTTTATTCTCAGGGAATCGTCATTAGGACTAAATATGGTGATGGGATACAAAACGATAAATGACGCGTTCCGTCGACGCGGCCAAAAAAGACAAAAAAAAAAAATAAGAATCATATTAAAATAACATCTTCGGTATACGTGGAACGATTTCTTGTACAGTGACATTGTAACGGCAAAAACGATCGTGCGAAGGACAACCGCGAAAGGATTTCGTCAAGAAGAAAGAAGAATTATCCGCCAAGAGTATCGACGGTTTCCCTCGTACGATTGAATCGACGAAGAAATGAAACGCTATCGAACTTGTTGCTCTTGTAATATCACTGTAAAAACTCGAACAACGATGATCAACGGCAATCTGCTGCACGATCGCGACAGATCTAGATCGTTTTTCTGGCTGGCACGTGTCAACGTGCGCCAACGATCAATCCACGTTTCCTCACGTTTGCCGACGTGCTCGAGTACGATCCAGATAACAAGTTTATTATTGCAAATTCATGACAAATCATTCCGTTTAATGTATACACTCGATTTCCTGTTGATTTTTAACATTACAAAGAAACGTGCGCGAAAGTGACGTTATCGCGAACAATCCGGTGCAATTACAGAAATATGCAGGTCTCCCTCCATGGTCCGCCGTTCGAGGAGATTCCCGCCAACCGTTTAATCATAATTGTAACGTGCTACTTTCATTGCGACATTAAACCTGTTAACGAAGATCGTATTCAAACACACGTACTGATGCGTACGTGGTACATTTATACGTATAAAAATGAAAGAAAGACAAGACGAAAGGTACGCGTATCTCAAAGCTCAAACAGCGGCTCGCGCGGAGGACCGATTACGAGTTTGCTTCTCCGGCGAGCTGGCATCATTATACATACATAAATACATGCATACATACATGTGTATACATACACGTACGTATATACGTGTATGTACGTATATATAGATAAATATAAATATATACATTTATACAATTCTTTATACACACTGTACCCTCCTAAATAATATTACTTAACAATGTTCTATACATTTGTACGAAAGTATAACTATCTATGATGATGATGATCGTTCTTCGTTCTCTAGTCTCAAAGTGTCGCATGATCAATTTAAATCCATAAAATGAACAATGTGCTTCCATTTCCCTTTTCGCGATTATCTCTACATACAAGCAAGTCAATTAATTTGATACTTTTTGCTGAGCCATACAACACGTTCTGCGATAAGATACTGAAAGATAGCGAAAAGTGTTGATCGTCAGACGCAGAGGGATGGGAAGCGAAATATGGAAAAACGTAGCCACGCTTTGATACTTCGGAACTTGGGGCTGTTTAGATGTAATAGAGAGTAAAGAAAAAGAAAAAAAAATACGCTATTAATTTGGTCGCACAAATACTGCGCATACTGTCTGTATTTATACTCGGATGAGGACGACGACGAGTAGAACTTCTCTGTCTTCCTTGCATCAGCTCGTAAATTCTTTTTGTACGCGTTCGTTTTAATTTAGTTCGTCATTGCGAATGGTAGCTCGCGCGAAACTCGCGATCGCGACAGTGATTTTTGCTCGTAAACACAAAAAGGAAATAAAAAGGAAATAACTATGATATAAGAGACAGGATCTCTGTCGATCGAATGGATAAAGTAGTGCTTCCATGGCAACTCGATCGTGATACAAGTGGCCATATTATTAACCGTCACTGTCTCAGAAATAAATGTCTCTTTTTTTCTTTAAGTTGCGAAACGATCTTGTCCCTCGTCTTATGAGAATTTTCTTTCATGTATACGACGCGCCTCGATGCGCCAACGAACTAGAAGAATCTCGAAAAATTACTATGAAATATAGAAACTGTCCTGTATAATTCTACTCTATATTTTTTATTCCCACGTGAGAGTGACAACTTCCAAAATATTCCTTTAGATACACCTGGCTAAACAGCCACTGTTTGTATGCTTCACACGGTCGGGTAGCCACCTTATATTTAAAAAAAAAAAAAGAAAAAAGATAAATCATCGAAGTTTAAATACATTTAACAAGACAAACATTTATAATCAACTCCTATCTGAAAAATAAAACAAATAAGAGGCAGAACTTTTTAATATACGCCAAATTATTTTTGTGATCAAACGATTTCCATTTTGCGTCGAGAGCCAATCACTCGATCGTAATTTCGGTACTTACATGCACAATCGAATCGGTTGTTCTCCAAGCTAACGATTCTAGTAATTAATAATCGAGCCTAGTATTTATCTTAAATATCCATTTCACGCTCATAGCGATAGAGCGTACCGAGAGTAACGGTACGTTTATATGGTAATACATGTAACTGTAACGTAAGGACACATTAATTATGGTGAATACATAGGATGCATGTAATTATTAACGAGACGGCGTTGAGTTCGGTGTTGGCAAAAATTCAGTCTACGCGATTTTTCAACGAATGTATCGCGTTTGACTCCCATTGATTTTTTACCAATGCGACGAACTACGCGACCTTATACATATTATATATATAGATATATATACATAAACGCATGATATTTATGCACAGAATGACCAATTTTCGTCTGGTGCCAATTAGTCTTCGAGCGACTGCTCGCGCGATGCAGCAGCGTCCTTCGACTTAGAAATTAATTAAACGGAAGCTGAGGGTGGATTAAAATTGATCATGCTGTGAATAGCAAGAAAAATCTGACGCTCAGTACAGGAATATACTCAACACACGCTCGTGATGGATTTCTAATTTTGTTTCTTTTTTTTCTTTTTTTTTTTTTGTCTTAATCTTGATCACGACAACCACAGTGACAATTACTTCCCTTGTTCTCAGCATAATCCGTTATCGTTTGCCGCGTTTAATAACATATGTGATACATAAAGAAGCGAGCGATCCGAGAATGTCTCGGTAGTCCCGACTGTACGGAAGTAGGCTAGTTTTGACAGTACGTGCTAGTATAAAGTGTCCTTTTATATGAATAAACGATTTTGTATGTCAAATCTCGATGTCTACTTTATGATCCCTTCGTTTCCATAAAAAGAATCATTCGATAATTGGTTGTACTTAATATTGATTTGAAGCTTTCTCAAAGTTATAGTTCCTGAAAAAAATATAACAGAGATTAAATAGAAAAAAAGCATAAATTTCGCAGCCAATTAGCTCGTATTATTTGCTGCATAATTAATAAATGTACCACAGAAATAATGATACAGATATTAATTAGTCATCAAATAATAATGATTGCCCAGGTCTCACCACGGGGAGGTTGCTGCGGGTGGAGACCCGCCCTACCTCATCCCATCCACCCTCCATTAATGCAAATTTTTATTCTTATTCAATAACATCATCCTCTTGATGCACATTTGCAAAACGTTTCGACCGTGGTGCAAACGAACAACAAAAGGAGCATTATTTTTATTCACTACCTACCTATCTACTTATCTATACATATATCTACGTATATTTTTGCTTTTTATTCCTATCGCAACATTTTTTAATTTTTATTTTGATTACAGATCTGTAATTAATGAATATGCAATTGCACATTTGTCCTACATACTTATATTACTAAGAATGCCTACCAAAACGAGCGCTCGTAATTATATTATAAATTCGCTTAAATCTAACGCTTCCTAATTAAACACTGCAGTGTTTGACGATTATATCTTAATGACCATATATATATAAAAGTACAATGAATTTGTTGATTTTGTTGTCCTCACCAGAATACTTCCGGAAACAAACTGAAAAGGATTAAACACAATTTTCGAAAATAATACGGTTCAGATATTACCACTCATGAGAATCATTTTCTCTTTTCAATCATTTTCACCTTGTTTTACTTAATTAGATACATCGAATTGCATTTTTGGATGCTAGATTTTATATTACGTTCCTTCCAATCTATTATCCGATATTATTAATTCACACTTCCTATAAAGATATTTCTCTGTAACAGAAACTCATTAATCGAATTCATACAAAGAAAAAAAAATGTAATACCTGAAAAGAAGATACATTAGTAACAATAAAATTTCACAAAAATCAAAGTAATGGTTAATGAATCATTTCCAAATAAGAAAACATGAAAAGTGAATTTCAGTACCAAAATAAAAACAGAAAAAGATTTATAAAATAAATTGTTATTAAGTAAGTGATTTCAGTTAGAAACATTAATTATTTAATTTTATTGCATAGTATTATTTAACAGTATTTCCAACAAACGAATGCTCAAAATTTTCAAAATTGAATTTAAGAAAAAGGACGGAGGCGCTGTGGGGGTATAGGGGAACCTGAAAAGAAAAGTTTGATTGCCTATAAGAGCAATCCCTAAGTAAACCCTATAAAACAAACCGAAATTACACGCAACACTAATTTAATAAATGCAAAAAAATGAAAAGTTTAATAACAATCGCGAATTCATTCGCAACACTAATTTCATTAATTATATATATGTATAATACAAAAGCGTACGCGTGAGGGCTGCTCCATTCTGCGCAACGCTAAGCTGAAAAAAAGAAAAAAAGAAAAAACGCGAACTGTAACGCAACACTAATCATATCTACCGAATTTTATAAGACGCAACACTAATCTAAAAAAGGGGTACACAGCCAATCCAAGGCTGTACCACGGCAGCTGGTCCATAGCTGCCTTATGGACCATGGCAGCTCCACTGGATCGTTTTTGGGCATTTCATCATATATCGCAATACTAATTAGCAGGGAACTCTGTAAATTAATGCAAAGCAATCGCGTATTTATAAGTCGCAACACTGGGAAACAATCGCGCTAATATCATTCGCAACGCTATCTTTAAGAGACATGCAATTAAAATGCAAAAAAGGGGGATTCTCAAACCGTGAATTTTTTACTCGCAACACTAAAGCAATCAACATTAAAAAACAAAACTCTCAAAAATCTTAAAGCAAGCAACATTGAAAAGTTAAATTCTATTGTAAAGCAATGCAAGAAAGAAACGTGATATTTAAAGTTCGCAACACTAAATGAAAATCGCGATAATCATGCATACGCAACATTAGATTGAACCGTGATCGATATTCATTCGCAACACTAAATTGAACCGTGGTCAATATTCGCAACACTAAATTGAAAACGCGATTTGCCCAAAATCATGGGGGTCACGGGCCCCCTCTTGTCCTGAAATTACAAAACTACAACTACAGGCAAGCACAGTGACAAAGTAGTAACGATAATGACTTCCCATCCTTTTTTGCAAAAGGATGCAAAATCATTATTAGTTCCCCTCTTGAAAGACAGTTTGTCGGGGCGCTTCGGCATATAGCCTTTTCTTTCTTCGGGCGGTCCACCCACCTGAAACTTATATCTAAAGCTCGAGACTTGCAAATTCGCAAAACTAAAAAAAAAAAAAAACAATCAACAAAAAAGAAAAATCGCGAAACTCTAATTGACACGTGGACGAAAAAGGACTTTATATAAGTCGTTGTTCGTGCACACGTGCCGTGCTCGAGCAGAACTTGTGCGTTTCGTATCATCGCGATCGCGTATGACGACTTATGAAGTCGCCAAAAATTTGAAAAATTGTACAGATCGAATCAAAGGCGAACAGCATACTTCGTTCGCGTCGATTGGATCGTCAATTCTTCAAATATATTCCAGGTACAGGTTGATCACACGAAATCGCGCCTACCCGACCAAGAGACTGTGACAACCTGTCCCGGCCCTACCTACTTACGAACTATCACACACACCAGAAGGTATACTACCTACCTACCTAACGCTATATTTAAAAAAGGCAAAATCACATTCTCACAAAAATTCATTCCACGACCCCCATACACTCCACCCGGGCGCAAAAGCCTAAACTAGAGAGAACGTCCCGGGACGCCTCCGTCACCCGAGTTTCATCTCACATCACACTCTACGGTACGTACCATTTTTCACTGAAATCGTCTGGCAAGGCTAGCAATCATTGCGTATAATGATAATTACAAAATTTAATTAACTACTTTGATATAGAATATTTCATAATAATGGTAATAATCATGGTAATACTAATGGCAATACAGTCATTATAATGGTAATAATACTATTTGGTTTGTACGTTCATCGTACATCTTGTTGAATAAAATATGATTTCAAATTAAAAGTTAAATGAAAAAGTTACTAAACCGACGCAATCCCACAGCCTAAAAACACACACACCATATGTGGAAATTACATCGTGCACGATATACTAACGCAATGCCAGCCGCTTATTATTATTCTTATGAACTAGGTCATCGTGCCCATTGCCTCTACCCATCCAAGTAGCACCTGGGCACGTGAATGGGCTTTGGCAATAAACACGGAAGGGGTTAAACCTGAAAATCCTGATCTAGAAACATGATTAGTACATAAACATCTAACGGGCTAATATTTCACTATTTTAATAAAAATGACTCGACTTTGTAAATATAAAGCTTTAAGAACAAATACTGAAAAGCAAAATAGAGCAACTATGACGCAAACATGGTGCACTGCTAATATCAGCTGGCAACGAAGGGTCTCACGCCCCCTAGACTTGCGCCAGACGCTACATACCACCCACCCCACCTGGACGTCGTAACGCCAGGACAGAGTGCACCCCTTCGCTAAGAGCGCTACCCGCCCGTCCAACACGTTGCATCCAACGGTGTCAGATTGACGGACGCCCATAGTATAGACAAAAGGACTGCAGTTTAGAATATGGTAACATATTTTCATATGTTCCGTATTCTAAAACTGCGCCTGCAAAGGCCTAGTAATGCATGGGTATATCTCCCAGAGATGGTGTTCACGGTCTTATGCCGCGGAATCCTTGTAACTAATTTGATTAATTAAATAATAAAAAGGATTGAGTTTAAAAACCAAAAGGATTCCCACCGAATACTAGTCAGTGCATCGTCATATTTACTCCCGCGTCAGAAATTTCTCGCAACACTAATTTAATAAAGGCAAAACTCTAAAAAGGAATTTAATGTCAAAATTGAATTTCATATTTTATTAAAAGCAAAATGACTAATTAAGAATTCTTTACAATGAAAAAAGAATTTATTATGAAAATTAATAAAAAATTAAAACATCCTCGGGCGACTCCCTCCTCAGAGTAACTTTTCAAGAATACGCAAAATGTGTTGAAATAGATCACTCTGACTTGGAAATCTACCCGTCACGAATTGTCTTCTTGCACATAAATTGTTCAATTTTACATGAAATGAATTGAACTTCACTCCTCGTAAAAAGGTCTCAAATTATATTTGAATTTACAATGTACAAAATGTAATGAAATCAATGTAAAATCATAATTAATATGTATATTCAGTATACATATCATATTACCAATATTATATCGATTTGAATAAAAACTAAATAAAATTGTTTCTGTATTAAAATATTTCATATTCCACATTTAAGAACATTTAAGAGCATTCATATATTTCATAAATATCTATTGGAATATGTGGAATTGAAATGATATTAAAACGCGGTGTACAAGAAAACCTAGCCTGAACTAAACGAAATAAAACACAATGAAAATGTTACTACTCATGAGTATGTATAATCATACCCATGGTCACTGTACTAGCCAACCACGTATACAACCAGTAACCCGTGTCATGATTGGGCACCGGAGGAACCATAAAACATGCGACTCACCGTTCGCAGATATACTCTTCTTCCTGTAGAAGGATGCTCAACAACTAGGTAGGAGGATGCACACCAGGTAGGAGGTTGTCTTACAGGAGAAGACGGAAGCCATCAGGAATGTCCAGGAACTCGCCAAAATTCAAAAATTCATCTGTAACAAAAAAAGAGGAATTACGGTTAATTTTGAAAATTATCAATTCTTATTGTAATAAAATTATATATAAATTTGGATTTTATCAAATATTAGCAATGAAAAATAACTCTCAATTATCAAGTGTTGAAATCATAAAAATTCTACTGAATTAAAATTAATTAAATAAAGTAATAAGATACTTACACTCTTTCCTTATGGAGCAACGCCCAAGATTCCTCTTCAGTGGTGCCGTGACTCTAATACCGGATATATCGAGCAATAAAAAAAAAAAAATTAAAAATAAAAATAAAGATATAAAGTACTAGAAACGCGACCGTGAATAATTTCCGGCAAACAATTATAGAGACTCTACTTTCGCGATGGAAAAAGAAAAATCAGAGCCTCGTTGCTCTAGAAAATATTTTATAATCCGCAGCAAACACTGACTCTACTTTCGCGTCATTCCTAATCGTACAATCGCAACTCTATTCAGGGCCAGTTCACCCTTGAGAAAATCAAAACATTGAAGGTATATTCGTACAAACACTGACTCTACCGACCGCATTGCGCGCGGCCACAACAATTCCTGTAAGAAAAACTAAGTGAGCAGGGTTGGGCTGGGTGGAAATATACAAAACAACATTCTTCCTATTGAGCGTTCATAACGGAAATACTGTTATTAATGGCTTGTCAATGAAAATATCGATGTTCGTGAAATATATTCGACGAGCACAAATATTTTTAAAGCTGAATATTGATCCTAGATTGAAATTAAATGTTTTAAATAATTGTTGATAATTATTCAATAAACTGAAAAATTAATTATCCTTTTTCTATTAATTGATCAAAGAAAGAAACATTCCTGTGATCTTTCCTTCCTTGATCTTGGTACCAATAATTAATTATCAAAAATGCTTACAATTAACAATAACTCAACAAAAAGAAAGTAATAATAAATATTACCAACTAATTACAATAAATCAAAACGTCACCAATTTTTACCGTGGAAAAATACAAATTTATGTAAATGAAATTTAACCAACAGCAATAAACTTATGATTAACAAATGATCGAGCTTCATAATTTATGCAAAATATTTGAATAGTAAACTGGGTGTAAGTACCTATGAACAGAAGAACGCCCACAACACATCTTATTGCTTCGACGTTCGCGAGAGAAATGACGCGAGCTTCCTTCTCGCGGAAGTCCGGTCGGCACTCAGCACTTTTCGGTACTATTCGGACAGTTCCGCTATCGGCCTATACCTAACCAAGTACACGAACAGGTCTAAACAGGAATAATATTACGATGCTCAAGGAAGAACATTATTAAATTAAAAACAGCAAATTGTGTGAAATAGTACTAAAAACATTTAATAATGTTTAGGAAATTAGCAATATAAAAGGGAAACTAATTCAGATCCTGCTGTTCCATCTCATTGTACATTCACGGCAAGAGCAAAAATTTTCAACTTATGTATTTTCGAAAAAGACGTCGAATTAATGACAAAAATTAAGAATCTAGACTTCTCTTCGACTTTTCTTTCTGTTTTTTGTACTGTTAACACTTGAAAGGCAGTTTAATTTAATATTTAATGATATTTTAATCTTACCTGTTGCAGACACGTGCCAAACGGACGAAGCTTCGAAGAGAACTGATGCACTCCACCACACTCCGCGTACTGAACCCTTAAACGATGAATCTGATTGGTCGATATGGAAAGACGCAATAACGGACAACCAATCACAGCCATTGGTAGAAACTTCAAATTGCTTCGAAACTTTAATACTAAAATAAGGAAAAGGTTCGTTGAAAACTATTGACGCCATATTGTAATAAAGTCAAAATTACTTTTTTCAATTTAAAGCACCGAAATATAGGAAAGGAGATAGAAAAATACATAAGACATTAATGGTATTTAATAAATTATCATCATAAAAGCATAATAAATGAGAAATATGTTATTTTAATCCGTATCTATATCGGCAAAATAGGGTATAAATTTTCAGCTTACGCATTTCAGAAGACAATGTGGAAATGATGTCAGAAATCATAACTCCCATCTTCTCCTCAACTTTGCCTTCTGTTTTTTGTATTTTCGATACCTAACACACAATTTAATATTATATGATATGTTTGTCGTTATCCTTTGTCACCTTCTGTTTACACCAATGCGTGTGGTATGTACCTAAGAGGGGTTGAATAGAATGAGAACGTGATCAACATCTCTTGAAAGCGCTGTAATGGCGGGAATGTCATGGAACAGAATATTGTTTCACATGTGCATATTTTCTGTATTAATTACTACTAATTGTTCATTTGTAATGTTATTATAAATTTGTATATTTTTTTTGTATCAGTGTGAATTAACGGCTATTATTTATTTAAATGTTCATATGTGTACAACAGTGCTAGTAAATTGTCGAACTATTACGCGTAAGAAGAGGTTATCTCGTGACAAAATTATAATTTTTGATTGTAAGGCTTAACATTAAAGTACATGTGCACTGTTTCAATAAATTTCCTTCATAATGGATAGTTTAGCGACACAGATTTTGGAAGACAATGATTGTCAGCCAACACAGCAAATATCTTCTCCTGTAAATCAAGACAAAACATCAACAACACAGGTAAATCATAAATATTCTTTATATTTCTCCTTCTACGAGTATTTTTATACCTTATTAATTTATTCAGTATTTGAAATTATTTCATAGAATTGTAAAAAATGTATTATTTATTTGAGTATTATAATTGTTTCTCCATTAAAATATTTTAGATCGGAGTGTTAACTGTTGGTTCTACTAGATACCCAGTTAAAAAAGGAATTAATAAAATTGGAAGACATCCAACATGTAACATTATACTGAATGATCACGTAAGTCCTTGGAAATATTCAAAATAAATTAGTATATGAAAAATATTTTATTTTTGTCGTAAAATAATGAATATAAAGAAAGAAGGTTTAAATTAAATTGGTACAATTTGTGATATCAGTATGAAACATTATTACAGTTCTTCTGATCTACTAGATGCAGTCTTTAATTTGTTTTCATTTAAATTGAGGGAGTTCCAAAACTCTGCGTCTCCAAAGTTTGTAGCACTTTCCATATGAATGTTTTGTGGTCCAGCAATGTGTACATAGTTAAGGGTCTTTTCTTTTGGATTTAATCTTGACCATTGCACAGTACCCACTTTTGGAACACTATATCAGTTTATAAAAAAAATATGTAATATAATTTGATTTTCCTAAAAACATAACACAGACTAATTTACTCACCTGTTAGTTACAAATGATACCCAAAAATCAATTAACACTTGTTGCATCTTAAGATCATTTGGAGTTGTTGTAGGGTCAAGGAAAAATGTGTCTACCACATAGTATGCATCATCTGCATGACTCACACCTGCATAAAGTACTTGTTATTTAAAATTCTGTTCCTTCTAACATATTGATATCTCTATTGAAATAACATACCATAATTAGTACTAGTTCCGCTCAAAGCTTCGCTAAAACTGTGCGCACCTCTGTAGGAAAAATAGTAATACCAGACAGGTTGCTTATTAACTTTGGCCTGCATTCTAGCAGCTTTTACACTGTCAGTAACAAAGAATCTATCGCTAGATAATTTTATTAAAGATTTTGTTGATTCTTCTATTTTCTTTGTTCCAAAGTAGTGTTTTTTAATAAGTCTGGCAACTTTAACATGTTCCTCTTTGGGTGAAGTGTAATTGTAATCAAGGAAATGAGGTGCAAGAAGGTCCCAGTTATCGTCCAACGTTTTCAAAGCTTCTGGTTTAGCAATAAATTCTGAAAAATACATCGTTGTATTGAAAAAACCGACTACGTATAATGACTTCCGATTTTCTATCCTGTACTCCTTACCAGCGACAGGGTATAATCCGTCTTCGCTTACCACTCCAGTGACCCAAGGAACATCTTGAACGTCTCCGCTATTCACGATTTCAGCGGGCGTTCGATCAATGAATGGTTCGTCCCCATATTTCTCAGGGACTGGACCAAATGGCGTGAATGGATTGTTATAGAACCGCTACAATCAAGTTATTCTGTTCGAATGAATATAGTTCGAGACTACTCGCTTTACTGATTTGTCTCATTAGACTGTAGTATCGACATTCCTATATAAAGATGCAAAATATTTACCAAAAATTTGCCGAGAGCCTCAACCATGACGTTGCCCGGACGGTATCTGAGACAATGTATCATATCTCTTACATTATTTGTAGGGCAACCCATGAGAGCACCTACTTGCTTAGCCTTTTGTGCAGAATTTTCTGTCTGTGTCCAACAGTCGAAAGCGGTACCACTAATTGAGATACCACCTGCATTACACAACAAGAGAACAAAATTTACATGTAATAAATCATAGATCAAGATCTTTCTCAAAAAAAGAGTCACCAATCGAAAATACCTTGGAAGAGACCAGCACTCATAGGAGACAAATAGTGATAATGAACGCTCGCACCACCAGCGCTTAAACCAATCAAGGTCACTCGATTTGGATCACCACCGAACCACTCGATATTCTCTGAGACCCATCGTAGGGCCATACTTTGGTCTTTCAGTCCCATATTACCAGGGACTACTTCGTCTTCGGTGCTAAGGAATCCTTGGAAGAAAATTCTCGTATATCATATCGTCCAACGCAAAAACTTGCCACGGAAGCTTGAAATTAGAAGATACCTAATATTCCAAGACGATAGTTGAACGTAACAAATACAACATCACGGTCCATAAGGTATTTAGCACCCATGGACATGCCGGAACCGTACTGAAAGGCTCCTCCATGAATCCAAAAGATCACCGGCAATGGTTTAGAGGATTCCTTGACATCTGCTGGTACATAAATGTTTAAATAAAGGCAGTCTTCAGCACCTTCGACTTTCTTATTTGGATCAGAAGACTCTTGGTTGTATTGCAAGCAGGGAGAGCCAAATTTGTTCGCCGGGAGTTCGCCCATCCATGGTGGCAGCCGTTGAGGAGGCTAAATGAAACAAATGTGATAAATTACGTAACGCCTCGTCCGTCGATAAGAATCCTCAATATTTCACAGTTATAATCTTGAAGAAGGAAGAGATTTTCTCTACCTTGAACCGAAGTTTGCCAGTTGGAGGAAGGGCGTAAGGGATTCCCACGTAGGCTTCGTACTGTCTTCCATCAGCAGACACTTCATAATATCCCTTGACAGCACCCAGAGGAGTTCGACGTCTCGGCGACTCTTCCAGGCTCCATGCCAGCGTTACAAGCCCAGAGAGGAGCAGCAGGATTGGCAGTCTCGTCATCTTCGGCAGAATGAAGGCAACTCGGCCAGTTCCCTTTATTTATTACGCACTTTTCGATGATTCGTGGCGTATGTAAATTAGATAAATATACAACAACAGACACACCGATGTAAGACTTGTTAGTATGAACTAAATACCAATCAGCCGATTATTCTCCCTACTCTGTATCTTGTGTAACAGTTATCGTTGTCGAAACGAGGTTTCTCGTAATAGAGTACGCGCACAACAGTGAAACGGGTGAAAATATTGATGCATATTTGCACCTCCTTTTGTTGACTAAACGATGATAAGATACAGTTGTTAGATAGTAATTATTTACTTTAATAATTCAGACATAAAATTATTTTTGAATGTATATTGTAATTGAAGACCGAGCGGCGGTAACATGTATAGAGAAAAAAATATTTAGAACAGTGACTTTGACAACATATTTCAAGATCATTGAAATCGGTGAGGAATCACTACAGTAAATAATTACCAAATAAATCACTATTACTCTATTAACACTTATATTTTATTTTGTTCAAACGAAATACTCATGTCTGTCTTATGTATACTAATCTATTTAAATATGAAGATTCATATGTACTTTGAAAGAAACAAAAAAAATTGATAAGTTCCGCGTCATGTTGAAATTATATTACATTTATCTTAACGTGCTTGATTTAGCATAATTTTCCATTAGTCTGTAATATTTTTAGGAATGTCATTACCCGATGCCTCATAATTATAGTTAAGTAGATTTATCTGTTTCTCGAGCGTGTTTTATTGGTTTAATTCAATCGAATTTAAGATACAATGACAAAGTATTGGAAAATTATGTTTATGTGTTGATGGTGTATATTGATTGAAATGTTTATTGATGATATCTATATCAGCGATGAATTTATTGATGGGTTTATTTATGATATCATTATATCAATGATAACTAAGATTTCATAAAAATATATTATCAAACAGAATAAAGACGTGATGGTAAGAAAGCAAAAGTGTATCCTTACTCGTTACGTCCAACAAGTAAACATACCACTGTAATCATGATCAATCTGTATCACGTAAAATGTTTTAATAACCGTTTAATCGCACAAATTAAATGTATTTTAAGTCGAAATTTTTCATTTGTATCTTAAGTTCGAACCAATATCAATCTTTATTATTTTTTACCCATCTTTATCCATGAAAACATTGTATGTAATTAAAGCGACGATTGAAATTAATGCGACCTATTTTATCAGACTACAGAAGTATTAAATTCTAAAGACCATTTTACTACATTATAAGGGAACTAATCATTTGTTTATTTTCTACTTGATTATAAACAGAAAGATATCAACAGACGAATAACAAGACTAGAATAAACTTATCGAAATAGGAAGATAATTAATTAATGAAGAGACCGTTTTAATTTACAGACGGTATCAAAGAAACATGCAGAAATTGAAGCTAACAGCCCCGAAGCAACGATATGGATCTGCGACCTGCATTCTTCCAACAAGACAAAACTAAACAATGTAATGAAAATTCTAACTACACCTGTAAATTTAATTTCTTTCCTTATCTTTTCAATTTGAGATTATAAACTCTTAGCTGATAGGATTCATATCCAATTAAATATAGGAATTTGATTTTTAAGTATGTTATTAATACGAATGAAATACTTTTTATATTGTAAAACCTTGTGGAAAATTTATCTGATAAGCGCAATTACTCAAGAGCTAACGTATCACCATCCATTGTAATACTGTTACTTAAATAGTCCGAACATTTCTTCCTTAGTCAGTTTTACGGCCAGGTCGGTGCTACGAGCTTAAAGATGGAAGCGTTCTCGGGTTTGGGATGATACAAGCGATCTTCGAAGTCTGTCCATTATTGGACGACTCCGCGATCCCAGAAACTCCATTACCATCTCGACAAAAAAATCAGCTAGTTATTCCAGGAACACCTGACTCGTCAACTGAGATGGTAATTATACCTCTCGAGATCATAATCCTTGAATATTGTTTTAGAAATATTATAACGTACATACATTGAACAGAGTAACGCATCCACTATGGGAGACGTGTCCACGATCCCTGCGACCCAAGCTAACGATCGGGAACCAACGTTTCGACGTCCATCCGTTCCTCAAAGGAATTCTACGGGCAGCAAGAAGAAGCATTTTCCTCGTGACTCCTCCGTCGACGACAGCCTAGACGATTCTAGGAGTTTTACCACGGGAGACAAAGAAAATGTAGGTAAACCGAAAGTCAACACTCACGATCTGGAGACCCAGAAGCAATTCGAATCGCAAAACGAAACGAGCATCGATATTCACGATATCGAGACTCAAAAGATTGACCTGAGCAACATCAAAATTTCTACGGGTCTACCGCAACAGGAAGTAGTCGATATTCATGACATGGAGACACAGAAAGAGGAAACTGAAGATAACGTAACTGGTACTAGTGGAACGAATGTGTCATATGACGTGGACATTCATGATATGATAACACCGAAGAGATTTTGTACTGAAAATGCAGATGATAATACTCAAAATGAGAATCTTGAGACCACTACAGAGTTGTTAAAGATTCCAGTTAGAGAAGAGATGTCCTCTTTGAATATAGAAATTACAGATGAAGGTGAAACAGCAGATGATGCGAAGGACAAGGAAATGAATCCTGAAGAGTTCCTGCAGTTGTCGCCCGCCACGAATTTCGAGGAGGATTATTCAGTACTTGATAAGAGCCACGATGTACTTGGATCGCAGAACTTATTGGACCACATAATCGAAGATGACGAAGTAATGGATCAGGTGAAATTGAAATCAACATCCGTGAAGTCTACAAATGTAGATGACGAACAGAGCACCGACGATGAAAACATCTTTGACGCAGCGACCCAAGTTAAAATCCATGACGAGAATGATGGCAAAGATGCATCTCAACACGATGCGACCAAGATTTCGCAGGGAACAGATGATTCCGACGAAACGAATCAAGGAGTATTTCAAAGTTACTCCTACGTCAGAAGCAAAGACAGTAAGAAATCCTCCCAGCATGAAGCTAGCGACGATTCGGATACCGACGAAGAGGGTCAGTTTGTGAAAATAGCTTTACAAGAAAGGCAGAATATTTCTTCTTCCTTTGAAAAGCGACGAAGCGATGTCAGCGAAATGAAAAATAGTCGCGGCTCGAGCAAAGACTCGGAAGATATGTTTAATATGCTTACTCAACACGTGAACCCGGCAAATAAAAATGCGATGATCGTGGAGAACGATGGCGATGAAGTCTTCGATGCGCCCACGCAAGTAGTAGAGAAATTCAAAACAGATATAAAAATAGAAGACAGTGATTTGATGCCAACACAAATTCTGTCGACGGTCGAATCTCCTGCGAAAGAAGTTCCTTCGGTCAGTTTATCGAAGCGTAAAGAAAACGCAGTCGAAGATGACATTACTGAAATAGAGGACGATGTAGCTACTCAAATAATTACTCCTCCAGAGGATCGTGATAAATCACCCAGTCCGAATGAAAATCATTTAAAAAAGACCAGCATCGATGGCATTGACTATGAAACGGCGCCTACTCAATTAATCAGCGATGTCGAGAGAAACAGATCAACGAGAAAGTCTAATGTATCCAAGAAAGTAAATTTTAATGATTCTTTGGAAAAAAATCTGAATGCAATGTTCTGTGGTGAAAACGAGGATTCCCTTGAAAATCAGGAAGAGATATCTACTCAGGTTCTTAAAAACGTGTTGCAATCATCTCAATGCAATGATGAATCACAAAATGAAAATTCTAAATCTAATTTAAATAGCAAATCTCCGACGATCGATAAGGTACAAAAATCCATCGAAAGAAGAAAATCTAAGGCAGCTTCATTAGGCAGAAAAACTTATAATTTAAGGGATGCAAACGATGATAGCAACTCCCAAAATATGGAGAATTATTTCTCTTCCTTTACTTCAGCGCGGAAACGCAATGTCCTAGCGGATTCCCAAGACCTATCTGATTCTAGCGAAGATACATCCGATAATAAAACGAAAAAGAAATCAGCTGATGAATTAACAGCTGTTGATAATACGAAAGATAATGTTGACGAAAGTCCATCTAGATCCAGATCTAAAACTCCATCAACGCCAAGATCACTGAGAAGAAGTAAACGCGAAGAATCAACAGTAGTAGAAGAAATAGGGGTTCCTAAAAGTATCAAAGATACATCGATTGATACCGAAGAATTTAAATCGTCGAAACCTAACCCTAAAAATTCATCAATGCCAGAATCGACGGAAAAAAGTAAATGGCAAGAATCAAAAGTTGTAGAAGTATCGAATCCAGAAACTGTCGCAGGTGTAAGCACATCGAATGATACAGAAGAACCTCAACAAAGTAATATAACGTACGATTACGAAGACATATTGGACGGTTTGCCAGAGGTTAGAATTTCAAATACAATATACAATTACGAAGAGACAGTGGACGACGCGCTAGAGGTTAGAATTTCAGATAAATTATCGAATCCGCCAAGTCCAACATTGGCAACACCAATGGCTCGTAGAATGAATACTCGGTCGAAGAAGAATACTGAGAATGTTGTTTCAAAAAAGAAAAGGGTTGGAGGAAAATCGTCTCGAAAAGCATCGGTTGGTCGTAAAAACACGGAAAACGCTGTGCCTTATCAGTTTATCAGTAAATCGGACTCGTCGAGTCGTCGGGGAAGCATGCCGCAGGAACTTCCTGTCAACATCAACGCCGACGTGCCCAGGGAAATAGACGAGAAAGTAAATAAAAATTCTAAGCGATTAACGAGAAATTCGATAATCGGTAGTTCACAGATAAAGAAGGGAAACAATTCTCTTCGCGATAGAAAATCGATTCCTTCCAATAGTAACGTGCAAAAACAGACGAGCCAGAGTCCTTCCGTTCAGAATAGCGGAAGAACTCGTAATTCCAGTAAAAGGGATGTTGATCGTTCGTCTATTTTTCAGGTAGCAAATGAAGCTCCGATCGAAAATATTACCGAACCTGCGGAACCAAATACCAACGCATCTCGCAGTAGAAAGAGAACGCTTAGCGCAGTGGAAGTGGCTGAAAGTAGCGCTATTAAAAAACTTCGAGAAGATGCTGATGAAAGTACGCGTGCATCTACCAGAGGTCGAAAGATTAGCGCCAAAAACAGTCCAGTCAACAGAAGATACTCCGCAAACATTCTGAACTTTGTTACTAATAAAAATTCACCGATCGATATGAAAACTAAAGAAAACTCAAAGTTACCGCTCGATGAAACAAATTTAATAAATAAACAAGCGGTGATTAATCTTGTTAGATTGACATCACAGAGTCCAACAGGATCAATGTCTCCGAGTGCCCCAGTAGAATCGGTGGCTAAAGATACCGTAACTGATGTAACGAAACAAACTCGGGTTGATGAAACGTCCAAGGCGAAAAACCGTAAAACTGTTTCGAAACTGCGTCAAGTTAGGAGCCGAAAAGCAAACAAACAGCAGGAAGTTACGATAGAAGATAGCAGTTCGCAAGGAGAGGAATCGCAAGAGGTGGAGAAAATCATGAGCGGTTCGATGATGGAGCAAAGTATCAAAGAGGATGCAGATATAAAGAAAGATGTAGAAAGAAATAAAAAAGGTGTAAACGTTAGGAATACCAGAAAACGCGCGCAGACAAATACTCTAACCGATGAATACGAAAGCAGTGTTTCTTCTGAAGATGCACACTTTGAGGTACCCGCTACGAAAAGCAAACGAGCGAAAATTTCGAAAACTATTTCAAATGTTAAGGAAGAAGCTGTTAGGAAAACAAGAAATAGTAGACAGTCGCTAAGATCCAGTCAGATCAAGCCAGAGATAATTTCCGAGTCCTCTTCGGAGGAACGTTTAGAAAGTAGCGGTAATCAGAATGATTTGAATAATACTGTAAGCAAAACTAATAATGCTAAACAGAAAGGAACTAAACCGAAGGCGGTAAAGCTGAAAGGTAACAAGAAACAGAACAAACTTGAAGAAAAGAGTGTTTCCTCAGAAATGAACTCCAGTGTCGACGATGCATCGATTGTTTCGATATCTAATAGAACTCGTAGAAGTACTTCTTCCATATCATCGCCATTCAAGATAAAACATAAAATTTTATTTACGGGTATACCAGCTACCGATTACAGAAGGTTATTAACAAAATTGGGTAAGTATTGACTTATACATACAGGTTTTAAAATGCAATTTTATTAATGTTTTTTTCTTGCAGGTGCGTCTCAAGTTGAAGATCCAACAAAATGCACAGTATTGGTTACTGACAAAGTTCGACGAACCGTTAAATTTTTATGCGCTTTAGCACAAGCTGTGCCAATAGTTTCGGTCGATTGGTTAATTGAAAGTGAAAAAGTTGGACACTTCATAGATCTAGAAAATTATATATTGAAAGATCCTGCCGCAGAAGCTACATTTGGTTTCAGACTAAGAAGCAGCTGGGAAAAAGCGAAACAGGATAAACTTCTTGAGGGTTACAGTATTGTATTGACGCCGAACGTGGCACCGCCACCTCTACCAGATTTAAAAAGTAAGCCTTCATAATTAAAATATTTTAAATTTCGTTATAGAAATAATTTATCGTTTACAGGCATAATTGTTTCATGCGGTGGTAAAGCTTTGATGCGACCACCGACATCTTGGCCTCGGAAAGCGGTGATCATTTCCCGCGAAGAAGATTTAATAAACGCAAAGAAATTTGCTGCCAAAGCACCAGAAACTGTCACTATCCAGTCAACAGAATTTATATTAACAGGTATTTTGCAACAAGAATTGAATTTCGTTAAATACAAGTTAACGTAAATTCTACTTTGTATATATCGGAGTTTATACATATTTCTTATTTTTCCATAAATGTAAAAGTGAAGTAAATTACAATAAACGTAATTTTCTGTTCGTATAAAATTTATTTTATACCTACTATTTACAAATATATACGAAATGTTTTCAGAGAAACTGTACAATCTGAACTTCGAATTCTATATGCTGAAATAAACAGAGAAAAGTTTCTTATTGTAAATTGGATACTTCATTTCCAGCATACCAAACACCATTACAGGGACCATACAATGATAAATATTTTCATTACTGATTATAAACTTTATTCATCAGAATTACGTACAGATTTTCAACCCGATACTTTCAACTTTTAAACAAACTAAAAAAAAACTTATCAAATTAAATGGAAACCTCTTCAACATACTCGACAAAAAAATGCATTTTTTAAATATTGAACTTCTTTCGTCAAATTACCGAACTTAGCAAACTGCTTTCATACCAATGGAATATTTTTAATTGGATGTTCAATATCTACAAGTTTTACGTGTAAGTCCAATACGAATATTACCAGATATATCCTAACATGACGAAAACTACAGACTCAAGTAACTCTGTATCAAGAGCAGTCCTACCTAAGTATATGTTTGGATAATCTATAAATGGTGATATGACTAAATGACGATTACAAGATGCAGTAAACATTTATTATCCCATGTGTACTAATCTTATTCTAAGTGAGAATCTATGTTCAGCGAGTAAATGCATTGCCGAAGATAAGAGATAAAAAAAAAACTGTTATGTGTATATTCCAGTATCTTCAAGAGAGATTATGGTTTGTCAGAGTTGACAAATGTTCTTTCTAGAAGTATGGACAGGAAAGCCCAAGGTCCTGGAACAGAAATACACAACACAATGAAACAATGAGAAAAAAAAATTGTCTATAATTAGTTTGATATCAAAGAATGATCTAATTATGTACTTTGAGATACTACATGTGTTAACACAATCAGTTATATTCTTTTCTACGTTTATCGCATTGTACACAAATCGAAAGCAACAAGTGTTCAAGAAATGAGTCATCTACAAAATGGTGGCGCAGCGATAAAAAAAACAATAACAATGCTAAGGACGACTTTCTATAACGGTAAAATAAAAAAACAAAAACTGATGGACGACTGAAATTTAAGTTCACCGATTAATGCTCAATTAAGAGATATACGGGTTCACCTGCACGTAGCAGGAACATCAAAAATATAAACGCGCAAAAACCCGGCCAAGGTTGCCGACTATCCCGGCTGCGCTTCAATCAATAACGCGTAATACAATATAAATGTTGAAAATTATGTTGTAGTTTATTGAATAATTCTTTTCTTTTTTCTTACAGTTTATGCTTTGGTTTTTCCTTCATCACGATGCTGGTGCTGATGGTGTCGTTTGTGCTCGGAATTCATCAGTTTAGTCATGATCTTTCTAGAATGGCCGCACGGGTCAAAGTGATTTGTGTGAGTAAGGGCTTCCCGTTTACTCCGTTGTTTACCGCTATGCCCGGTGAAAATATGCTTGTCGTAATCGTAGTTGAAATGCTCGTATTCGTCAACGACGTACTCATCCGACATTGCTTCCGGGTCGTTAAGCTTGTTCATGAGGTAATACAATGTAATTTGCGTATTCACTCACTTGCGAACGAAATAGTCTCTTTTCTTGCGTTTTTGTTTCAATACTGCTCCGATGCGCCCGGCTGCAGCTCCTTATATAGTTTGATTGAGGTAACTTGCGCATGCCCAGTATCCAGTGATGTCTTTAGTATTTTGAACACCTGCTATAAAAATTGTTTTAACACCGTAGATTCCTTTATTGCTTCGTTAAATAAGATAAAACAGCTTTAGTATGACTCTTTCCGAACAAAGATAATTCATTTCAATACCTCACAAAGGTACAAATGTAAATAATTAATGAAATTTTAATCAGAACATATATGACCGAGAATGTACTGGAACTGAAAATTTTCTAGAAGATAGAACAATCGTACGATTAACGTTATTAGGTTTTGTTTCACGTGTACATATTATGCAATTCAATGGAAATCAATCAGGAGAATCTAACATAATTTGGTAAATATTTATATATGTCTAAAGTGTATTATTTATGTTGTGTTGACAGCCCTGATAGCGTGATATTTCCATTTAGTAACTGCGTATATGCATACTGCAATATTGCACAGGTTATCTGTAACTTCAAACAATTTTGATTAATTTTATGCAACATTTTTCAAATATCGAAGTTTTACATGTGTCATTGCTAAAAATAACATATATATATATATATGGATAATGGATAAGCCTTGTATGTATTACTGTCACACAGCATTGTTCGTATATTTGTCAACATACAGTTGGATTTACTACGCATGCGCAATCGTCTCAAGGCATTGACTTCTAGAAGGCTCCATACTCATCGTAAGCAGAACGTTGGCGGATATTTTGTAGGTATCTATCATTTGATACGTGCAACAGTGCACGCAAAATGAGGCGCCAAAATATCTATGCTGGACGAGGTTAAAATTACTCGATTACCAAACGCGTCAGTGATATCGTTCAGTACGAATCTAGTGTGAAACAAACAATGATACGCGAATGAAGACGTAGTTAGGTTTAATGAAATTCAGGTTAACCAGATTCGTATCTTTCGAATTACGCATGTCTGTATTCAAGTATGGACATGCTCTAATTAATAACTATCAGATGCTAATTAAGCTTCCCACGTAAAAACAAATCTACTGATCGTGTATGTACGTTGATCAGTAGTGTTTATTCACGTCCAGAGCTTCTGAATCGTGTTTACTACGATCATATTACATTTTATACTTTGTTTCATCAACAAACAGTACAGTAGCTGCTTTATAATTAATTTGAATCAAGAATAGATTCAATAAATCAATGGTACTGTATTAATGTTAAGAAAATGGTGCTATAAGTGCCATCTAACGAGAGAACAACATATGTAAATGATTTCTTTGCTTTATCGGAACAAGTAGAATGTTCTTGTGGCAGCATTATTGAAGCCAATTAACAAAAGAAATTTCATTTTTCTTGTCTAAAACAAGGATCTTATGAGATAAAGCTTACTAACGAGTTCAAAGAATACATCTCTCTTTTAAAAAAGACCGCCACAATCCTGAGCCGTTAGAGACGCCTAGCGGCAGCATAGCGAAACTACAGTTCTTAAGTTTTTTAACTTGCTGAACCTCGTGAAAAAATCTGTATTGATAATATCCATTAAATTGTGGTATTAAAGTGAATTTGATGTGTTAAAAGTGATAAAAATGTAGAGGTATGTGTCTGCGTCTTGCACAGTAATTATGAAACGTTCTACTCGTTTTAATTAAGGACAAAAACTATTTTATGAAAAAATTAGCATTATCGACACTCTCCGTTAGGCGGCGTGCATAGTATTCCTTTCAAACTGCGCAATGATAAATTTAAAAACACATTTAAAAAATCCTATTACATCATTATTATCAAATTTCAGCAAGGCAGAACGAAGTTGAATAATATATTGAAGAATGCCTCGACCCCTAATGAATCAGTCCTTGCAAACACTGGAGTTGGAGAACCGAAATTTCTTTTACGAAAGTCATCGACAATATGCATCATGGCAAAAGCTAAACACAGGTAATTTTCTTTATGGTTATAGTAGGTCCAAAAATATTTCTCTTTTGTTTAAAGTACGATGTTAATGTTTATATTAAATACACGATATATTCAAGGAAGAAAAATCGATATTTTTAAATCTGCAAATTGATAAACTCTTAGTCGGATACTTTTGTGACTAGTTAATGGTAGAACGTTCACGAATATATTTCCGATCGATAATACCGGTCAAACCGTTCTCTTACATCGAGATTGTTCTTTCGATCAATAATCCATGTCCCAATAGAAACCCGTTTCCATTATGCTCAGAAAACGGAAGTAACATTTGAATCGTGTATTTAATAAATTTTATACCACTGAACTGAATCAAAATAAACGAATGTAATGAGATAACGTGGAAAATTTTTATTGAAGTTCATAATCGCACAATTATTCAATACATAAACCTTTAAAACACACGAACGTCAAATGTTGATTAAAAGTTTCTCGAAGAATCGAATGATATTTATGACTTACTTCCGCCGTAACTGCTTAACAACTACTTCAATAATGGAAGATGTTTAGCTAAAATCAATAATTCCCGCGAACATACATTCAATTGACTCCGTAGACGTCACCGCCTTTGCGGAAGTCCGCGTTCGCGTAGACGGTCGTGTCGTTGTTAACAAAAATCACACACGCCACACTGCCGCGAACCCTGTAACGAGCAGTTTTATGGCCGATTTTCTTTAAACCATCGATTACTTGCTTTGGCACGCCATATTCGTACATCATCTCGGATGGGTACAGCTGATGATGTATTCTGGGAGCGTCCACCGCTTCCTTCACCGTTTGTCCCATCCAAATGATTTTCGCCACTATCTGAAATCGTGATCCATCAATGAAATACCTTTCCAACGGACGGTTAACCATTTCATTGTCGGAGATCCTGAGACGGAATATTTTTGATACCGAAGTACAATGGTGGAATACTAACTTGAGACACTGCCGTGGTGATCTTAGTGCCACCGGATGCACCGATCACCATTTTCACGTCTCCGTCCGAATCTACCAGGATGGAAGGTACCATCGACGACAAAGGTCGTTTCCCAGGGGCGATGTAATTATTCGGACTGGGAGGTATACCGAAATAACTTATCGTCGATGGTATACCGAAATCATTCATCGCGTTGTTTAATAATATTCCAGTGGTATCGCTAATTACCCCACTTCCAAAGCTGAAAAATAAATAATTGTTTTCCATAGAATCTTCCGACTAATAATGTTAGCTCTCTTCTTCTTCCATGGTTGGTAGAAAATGAAACGTACTAAAAATTAATGGTACTAGTAGCTGACACTGCATCTCCATTGGGTGCCAATACTGAAACATGGGCAGTTCCTTGATCTTTCGCGCTGTTCAAAGTAACAGCTCCATAATGAGCTGGATCGTCCCATGTTTTGTTATCGTCGATCTTCATTCGAGTTTCGTGAGCGTGTCTCCTCGAGGTTAAATTCCTTGTTAACTGAAAGAAAAGAATTCGATGGTAAGAATAGGATAATTATGTATTGAGACACCTGGATGTAGAGACATTGTTGTGCTAATTCTTTACTAACTTCTTCCATGTCGACAAATTCTTTGTCAGCCATATCGTTTCTCAACGCGTAAGCATATTTGAAACTTTCTATCATTCGATGATAAGTAAGAATGGTCTGGTTTTGATCAGCTATGCTGTCAGGATTAAAATGATATTCGTCTAAAATGTTTAAAATATACGAGAAGAGAGCTCCACTAGCTGGCAATCCAACAGTGTAAACCTTTATTCCATTAGAGAGATTCGTTTGAAGGGGTTCATCCCACGTAGCTCTAAAAATAAATGAAATTTAACGTGTAGTCATTTCTGGTGCTTATTTAATTTAATAATAAACACCTGTAACTGTTCAAGTCCTTCATCGTTATTATCGCTCCTTTTTCTTGCAAATCTTGCACAAGTAACTTGCCCAAGGTACCATTGTACAATTCCGAGGCACCCTTCTCCGCAATCACTCTCAATGTTTTACAAAGTACCTTTGGTTTAATGACGGTACCCGGTTTGTAAAAATCATCGGTCTTCGGATCGACAAACAGTTCCCTAAGAATCAGAGAAAATACAGATTGTAATAAACGAATAATTATGTAAAATATATTTCTTCGCTTATGTTTACTTTAATACACGATCGTTGTAAATATTCTTCGCATTGAATCTGAACCCATCGTGTTGGATTTTTGTTAAATTATATCCTTCTTCGCAAAGTTCGATCGATGGTCTGAACAAATCGGCCCATGGTAATTTACCAAAACGTTTGTGAGCCTCCCAATATCCGGCCAATTCTCCAGGAACAGCAATGGCCAATGGACCTGATTGTCAGTAAATAATTTTTACGGATAGTTGATTAATTCGATTAAAAGTGAAAGGGGAAAGTAGTAAGTTTACCGGAAAAGGATGCATCTCTTGGTTTTCCTTCGTACATCGTGGCATTGGCTGCTAAGGGTGCACGGTCTCTTGCAGTTAACGTGTACGCACGTCTGCTCGCTTTATCATAAATTGTCATAAAAAATCCGCCTCCAATGCCCATGCTTTGCATATTCACGAGACCGTTGCAAATCATCGCTGCTATCGCGGCATCCACAGCCGAGCCATTTTTCTCTAAAATCGACCTGCGGAACGATGGTTATACAATCGCATTTTAATTCGTTTTAAAATAAGGTTTACAGTGGGATTTTTGTTCTGTATACTCGTATGCCTTGATGCTAAAAATATGATGTTACGTACTTGCCGACAACGGCACATGGGGCACCATCTGCGCAAACGGCTCCACGTTTAAAAGTTCTTAATTTACTCGCTGAAGGAGGCAACTCTGCTTCTGGATCCGGTGGTACTTCTTCATTTTCTTGAATTTCTACGTCTCTGTTCGATCCATAGACAGTGCAGATCGCTATTATCGCTAGGATCACTGTTGCTAATACTATGCTGCCGATTACAATTACCTTTGTGTTTATATATGACCTGAAAATCAAAAGTCGCCCGATGATAAAAATGATCCTAAACAAAGATTGTGGTATGTGTAAGATTTTACGATTGATGCGCAAACATTAAACTGAAACAGTTGCTCCGAATGTTTTTAACTTTACACGGATATTTGTGTTCGGGGAAGGTTGTTACATAAAAATATCAGTGTTTATCAATGAATTTTTGTTTCAGTTCCTGGTACCACCATCAAATTGGTTGTGGATGAAGCAGCAAACAAGTTGTGGCTCGCTTGAAAAATAATCCTTCTGGTAAGTTTACTTTCAAATACTTTCATTCATGTTTAACTGTCTTAAAATATAACTTTTGTTCATTTTTGTGCAGGAACATGGAATCAACGATGATTCGGGAAAACTGGGAAAAATACTGCATGATCTGAAAGTGATAGAAGAAACACTGTCGTCGTGTGGTAAGTACACTTCATTTCTAATCTGCGGTTTAAGATTAATCAGTTAATTAGATTAACTGAAAGAAAGCTTTATAAACAATCGTATACCCATTCAGTTTTAATAGTGGTTTAATATCTACGATTTGAATAGCTGAGATATGAATTATTTAAATACGATATTCAATTGAATATGCCATTCGTATGGGTAACTTAATATGTCGTCTACGAAATTCTGCATGTGTCCTTGTACGTATCTTGCATGCATATGTTCTTTCTATTCACACATGTACAGTTTCGAGCAAAGTAAGCTATCCCAGGGAAAATGATGGTAGAGGCTGTAGAAGAAATAGGAATTCTCCGAATTTTAATTTTGAAGTCATTAATATTCAGAGTAATTTAGAAAATCATTTTTACGCCTAATTGCCCTTTTCCCCTGAGAAAGTGTACAATGCTCGGTTCTGTACCAATGAGTACCTAGTCTACCCATCAAGTTTTACATATACTTTAATTGCAAATAAAACGCCGTTTTGATATTAAAATTGGCGGCAACCTGCGCATAAGGGGGACTCACTTGTCGAGAATTAGTCTTGGAAATAATCCTCTCGTCTTACGATGAGGCGAATACGAGCGCAAGAGTCGAGCGGTTCCGACCTCGTCCGAATCAAGGAAATTTCGTTTATCGTTGTTATAGTACTGATGTAGATCATCGGTAATGGCATAAGCTGAACTGTTGCTAGACGACGGCGAGGACGTCATGTTTTTTCTCTGCTATAAAACGACCCACGATAAAGAAAAACAAGATACATTAAACGAATTTCGTATTCAAACGACGTTACTTCAACGATAATTGTTATAAAAATCGTTGTCGAACAAACGGCTATCGCCACCTTTTGACAAGCCGACTAAACGCATAGAGACAGGTATATCGTTAAATGTTTAGTTGTATATTTTCTCGTACGGTGGGATCACTGAAAGACACTCACTGTAACTGGTCGACGATTTTTCTTGCACCTATTCCGATCTCGTTTTAGGAAAGATTTACGGACCATTTCGTTCGTACGAACGGTAATAATCGCTGGCCGAAAAGCGTCCGAAACGTTAACCGCATCGTCCCGACATTGAGCAAGTACCAGCTGACCGGCGAAAATCAATCTGGGCTTGCGCGTTCCTTTCCCGTTCGCGCAATATTCTTCTGGATGTCACAGTCACGTGTATACACGCGATTTAAATTAAGCTTCACAGTTATATTGCTTCTGGTTTTTTTTTTTTTTTTTTTTTTTTAAGATAACAATTTGAATTTTCTATGCTTCTGTTTGCAAACTGATGTAAATCCAAAATGAAGTTTCGGTGTTTAAATACAGAGCGCAGCAGAATACGGGGTATAGGGGTGATTTTATGTCCAAAAATGAGTGAAAAAGAAAGAGTAACATTTTTTCGTTTAAGCTTTTGTTTTTGAGGAAACCGAATTTGGCAATCAGTGTTGGATTCGTTGAGGTAATAGAATTAGGAACTTCTAAATTTATTTCTACTTTGAAAGAATGGGTTTTGACATGAATGTAGTTATAGTATTCTTTTTCAAGAACCTTTCACACCCACTCATAACCTTATTATATGTAGAGCGATAAAAAATTGAATCAGGCTGATTGTCGTAGGTCAGTGTCGTCCCGTAACAACCTGTGGGAGAAATCTGTGTGAACTGATAACGAGAACGTCACGTTTGATAAACGTCGTTCAGTAGAATATTACATAATTGCATCATAGTTTCCTATCTTCTACTTAATCAGAAAAATAGTCTGTCATTACATGAAATAGGCAATATATAATTCAAGGTATTCGAATAATTTGAATATTTCGAATATTCAAAGAGTTTGTATTTTGGATTGAATTTCAAATACTTCAATATTGAAAGGCACATGTCTTAGTGATACATAAGTCATATCACCTAGCGATAAACTACCGATTATCCATGACCAGTGATTTAGCAATACATGTACTTACATATCTCGTACACATAGCATCGATTATGACTTGACTTTTCAAAATATGTGTATTTCAGTATTTGAAATTTATAAAATATTCCTAGTTTCTTAATTTTCACCACAAAACACTCTATTAGTGAATTCTAGAATGCTATTAATATTTTGGGTGTCAGTCACCTCAGGGTGACGAATAAACTTCTACGAGGATCTATCGTTCCGGTTATTTAATTATAAGCTGGCCAACAGAAAACATCGAATATCATAAAATTGATATTAATAACAAAATTACTGTTTAATTTTGTTGCGATTAAAAGGAATGCGGAACTGATACGGTACATGAATATTTAATTGACGAAGTTATATGACCTTTCATGGCATAATAGTATTTCGACGAAACAATGGAATATACAATTAAGAGGAGTTACATATCTGGGTCGTAGAACGCGCACGGCACTATATGTGTATCGGGAAGTGGCATGCAATTGCGACAATTTGTAGCGGATATTCGACAATTATCGGAACCGCTAAGCATCGAGCAATCTGATTCAGAAAAGTGTAAACGGATCGAATAATGAAACAACGAGATTCAATTAACTTCTTCATTTACTTTCTTAGAATTCACAGCTCTAAACGAAAGGTGTTGTCTTCAGAAAAATAACACCTGTCGCAACAAATGTTATCTGGTTTTATCGTTCATCGAGTATTTTCATCATACCTTCGTCTCTTCCGTGACTCTTCGATTTCCGCCAGGCTGTTTCTTCTCGTCATCTTTGCGATCAAACTTTTAAATCACAGAGAACTTTTAAACGTACACGTACGACGATCGTCGACCGCCTGTGACCCGAGAATTTGACCGGTACTCGGAGACAAATGATCTCACAGTCAATCGTTCATATTCATAAAGATAATCGAGAATGTAAAAATCTTACCGCGCACTCGGTTCTAAATTGAAGTAATTACCCGTTGGAACACCTTCCTTTCAGTGAGTGACGCGCGCATCAACTCTATCAGATCTTCAACACACTATCGTAATCATAGCCGATTGCGAAACCCAACAGCACCGATTCAAAAGTAATTTTCAGAATATCATCCACTGTTACATAAAGTTGATACCTTCTTCGAATCCGATCGCTCCTTCTCGATGTTATCGATCGTTTAATCAATCACGACGTTTCGAAAGTGTAATTAATTCTTCGTCACCGCGATAAAACTGGAGTAGGATAAAATTTTGAATGATCGAGCGACGATCATTCGAGAAGCCGGCTCCGAAGCATCGAACGTGTCGTCCGGACACGAGGTTTATCGTACAGTGGTGAGACCGGATCGCAGCACGCTCGCTTCAACTCTCGACGAAAACATCTCGAAACGTGTTTGCCAGGCTCATGGCCGTGGCAGAGAAGGGATGGTTGTTTCTTGCCCGCGCGCGGACGAATTTAATTCCCCTTATTTGAATTCTAAACGATAGGGGGAGAAGATCGCGCCGGTCCAGATGACTTTCGATACTAAAAGAAGGCCTTGTTTAACGCCGCACACACACTCGAGATGCTTTATCATCGAGCTACGTTGCTTCATCGCCTTTTTCCGCTCGAACTATTCGACAACTGCTCCGTTTCTGCCTCGCGTAATTTTAATCGTCGGACGATTAAACGCCCCGGCGCTTCGTTTCTCGCGGAGTTTCAGATTTTAATAGAAATCTGAAGGTTCGTAGGAAGAAATGAAGAATGGTGGGAATTAGAAAATTTAAGATTTAAAAAAGAGAATGAAAATTATTACACGTCGAAATAGATGTGTAGAGAAGAAGATAATCGCGCGAGTGTCTTCTACGTAGAACATCTTACGGTGAAAATGAATTTCACTTGCAAGGATAAACGAGTTTTCGAAGTTAACCATCATGGTCGCCGGCATGAAACGGGAGCCTTAGCTAAAATGTATTACGAGTTGGTAGACGAGTTTGGCCACCTTGTAATAATTCTCTAAACGTGGAGTTTAATGGTCGGGTATCTTCATTAAATTATAAGACAATCTGTAGCAGCATCGTATTGATTTACCTCCTTCAGGAAGCATTTAACCAAAAATAAAAAGGAATAATATCGTTAAAATTAGAGTTATCTTTTTTTCTTTTTTGTTTTTAGATCATTTCTTCTGTTTTATTAGCACTAACGACATACACTCAGACATCGTTTAGATCGGGATATTTTAATATTATTTGTTAGATTATTTGTCTTTCCTAGCTTAGCAAAAATGAATTGTGGAGTTGAGGGACACTGGGTGCATTGTATGGAAAAGGTCTAACTTTGTAACCAGAGTCAATGGGTCTCTGGCCGTATCTAAACTTATAGGCCTGAGTAATAAACACGTTGCAGACCCAGGCCGTTATTTTCTTTCTAAAGTGGGCACCGAATTTCCTGCGTTGCATTCGGAGAAAACCTCACTTCTTAGCTCAGCTTTCATGAGTAAAGACGTCCTTCCGAGCTTATAATAAGGTTCATTTTTTCATTTAATATTGTGTGTTTTATTTAACTTTAAACCCCATAATCTAATATTATTAACATTAACGTGAACACTCGGACCCGATAAACTTCTTCACACCGGAATGATAAAGTAACATGTTTCTGTTAACGAGATCGTTTCTCGGATGTTCTAATTGACGAATTCAAAAGCTAACCAGCACGTACGTTGAAATAGAATATGTTTTTATAGCTTTCGATTTGGATTTATACACACAAACATTCATTAAATAAAATTTGTACTGGATAACGATTTTAATTTTTGATAAAATCAACGACTAAATTTCATCCGCAAGTGCAAGTAAATTAAATTGAATATGATTTTTCAACAAATCCTTAAGATTTCGATAATTAGAACATTTGGATCTGCAACAATTCGCATCATGAAATTGTACATTACCGAGCATGGTAGGCTTCTCTACGGAAAATGGCGATGTTCCGGGATTCCTCCTCCAATAGTCTCGGCTACTGTGCTCGATACTGTACTTTCACACACACTCATACACCCACACACACTCATTCGTGTTCTACAAAATTCAGAACATCAATTCCAATAACCACCAACATTAATATCGTTCAACGTTTAAATAATTGCCGCTACGATCTAAATTGCAAATTATTACCGCGTCGGTGCAAACACAGTAAGTTGGCCACAATTCACAAAAACGGCTGTACAAACTTGCTAGTAAAAAGAATTCGCACGATGCTTCGTCGCTCTTCATTAACGTATATTATTACCGATCGATTTAACGCGATCATCCGTTTATTATCGAACCCCGATCAATGGATGACCACGTTAATCGACATTATTTTTTTTACTAATTTTCTATCTCCATAGATACACCTTTATTCAAATTCGTGACGATTGAAAGACGCTTGAGTCCCTGTCAGAATTTCCTAGTATTTCAATGTTAAAATATATTTTCTGCAACTCGTGAAACATAGAAATTTCAACCCTCGATTCCTTCTATTTCACGTTACAATAATTGAGGCAAATTGAAGAAGTGACCTTTCCAGTATTTTGAAATGAAAATGTTTCATTATTTTCTGTAAATTTGTCGAAGAACCTTATTTATTTTATTAAATTATATTTCACAAGAGGAATCGATCCTATCAACTTTTAATCCCTATGCCAATACCGTTGCACCTGAATATCCATTTTTACCATTACGTTAAAGAATTTATTATATTTTTATTTCAATATTTCAATATCATCCACATTTCTATTCTTCAAACACTTTTTCTTTTATTATTCACACAATGGTTGATTAACGCACCATTAAATCTCTATGATTCACGAGTCAATTAATTAGGAACATCGGCAAAAGCGGAGGGAGAAATAATTATCAGGTATGAAATTATAAAATCGTACCAAACGTTCTCTTCGAGCCAACAGTAGAGCGATTTGAAATTCTTCAGGACCAACAATGATTCTCAAATCGTAGCAAGAACTTTCTTAAGCTTATTTGTTCGCGGACAAAGTTTCGTACGGTCGCGAATATCATCGCGAAGAAAATTATGACGAGCTTCTTTCCCTCCGCGAACTTTCCACCAGTCTCGCCGACACTCGTACAAGGATGATTGGCCGATCAACTTTCCTTGGACTTTCTCGGGTTGGGGGTGGGGAACAACTTTTTCGCCGAGATTAACCTGCTCGTGGTGTATTAAATCAGCTTCTCGTTTCAGCGAAACCGCATTCGCCCCGGTTTTCTCGTTAACGCTGCTTCGTGGTTGAGTGGAAGTATAAAAATATAATTTCAGGATATGTCGATACGTTGTAAATGATATCGAGCATAGTTGAGGGGGACGCGTCGGGCTTCTTCTTCCAAGAGAAAAATAAAGCCTCCTTCTGGACCACGAGATGATAAGATTCGATCGTTTCATTTCGAACGAGTACCTTGGAAATTATTAATAAATAACGAAATGGATATAATAAATTAGTTTGAGAAAAAATATTCGAGTTCATTGATCAAACTTAGGACGACGAGGTGAGAAGCGGCCTGCGTTGCGCTGCCTCCTTGCAATCCTGAGGAACATCCGCTTTGCGAATCGTTTTCGATTTCCGCCTCAATTGCTTGCACTTTTCTTCTTCTGTCTCCTCTTCGATGATCACGGGATTATCCTCTTCCATACATTTCTCCGCCATTTCCTTCGCCTCGATCTCGTCCACGCTGCTCCAACTGTTGTCGCTCTCGCTATGCTCCCTTTCCTTCTTCCTACCGTTTATTTCTTCCTTCTGCTTCTCTCGGTAACATCCGTTCTCCTGTACATATTCATGATTACGTTTCCGGTAACATTGATGCGAGAAGAAATAATTCTTTTGTTTGCACGTTAATTGCACGTAATCATACTTTCAGTGAATTTTTAAGAAATATTAGTTACGCAATTTTTTAGAATCCTCAGCAGTATTGTGAAATCATTTGTATAGGAGTACGTAAGACGCAAGTCATTACTGATTTCATACAGTCACTGTTGTGAATCATCGATGAATCTCGGATAAATAGAACAACATTCTAGAGTTAATAATTAGAGTTCAGTTTTATCGACTAATCATATATGAAATAACGTATCAAGGGTATAATTAGGTGTGTTCGATTCATAATTAAAAAATAATGTAACAGCAGAAATAACATTGCAACGAATCCGTTTGCTCAATGTTACTAGTGTTACAATACTGTATAAGATTTTCATCGGAAATGGTATACTTACCATGGCGGGTGGTTTCGTGGGCATTGTTGTGGTGGTGGTGGTTGTGGCCGTGGTGTCCGTGGTATCACTGCTTTCGCTATTATTGCTGGGTCTGGTGCCAACCAGAACCGCGCCTTCTTCCAAATTCTTTCCACGCGCGAATCTTCGCGATGGGGGCCACATATCCGACACGTGTTTTGCATTCGCCTTGGCAAGTTTCTGAGCGACCCCCGTGGTCCACACGCTCGCCTCGCTACTTCCGGTACTGCTATCACTACCGGTACTACAATGACGCCATCTCCGCTCTTGCAAAACATACGAATAATTTTGTATCGAAACGGATCCCATTTATACTCTATAAAATTGCAATACGTAAAAACGAGTCAGAAGACGATAAGATAAAGAAATATTTATCAAAGCCCCGAATATGTAACACTGACTATCAAAATGTTAATAAAAGAAAAGCGTGCCACTGGTGACCCCATACGGGACACGCTGTTCGGAGAAGATCCAATAATTCTCAATAAAAATTCTACGCGAATTTCAAAGCGATAACACGTACTGTCACATGGAAGGGCGTTTGCCAGGAACGGTTTCCTCAGCAATGGACTTCCTCCGTCCTGGCTCTCCTCGCTGCACGCGCGTGTTATGAGGATCCTTGGGCTTCTCCTTGGTGTCTCGTTCATTGCTATTGAACATCCGGTGCTCGCGTCTGTCCCGATGAAATCGCTTCTGTAATGAGGACCCATCAAGCTTGCCGCGCTTGCACTCGATCTCACCAACTTGCTACTTTCCCCTGTACGAACGAGAACAAATGAAAATTGTCGAGAAACTTTAACGATAAATCAGAGATTCGAAGAATTCGAGCGTCGAACTCTAACCTGATTCGGAAGTCGGTACTCGAAGCGTATTGCAGGAGGCAGCAGGTTGCAGTCTTCCTCGATGGAAACCGAGATTGTTACTGTCGAAACTGTTTCCGGTTCTGCAGGAGCCGAGAGCCAACAGTGCCTCGCTCAGTCTTCGTTGTAATGGCGGGAAAGGGAAGAAAGAACCAGTCCCACTTCCGGATGGCCTTCTCGATCCTGCTGCGCTCGGTGTCCTAGCTTGGATCTCCTGAATGAAAAGTATTGTTATTGAAAACCATTTGCTAATATATTGGATCTTAAGAGGATAAGGAATCTTGATTTTCTCAGTGAAAAGAAATCAATTTGGATGCAACGTTGACTTCCTTTGGATAAAAATAAGTGCAGGGGAAGAGGCATCTTGCACCATCGACGAGTTGAATCGTCTACGGAGGGTTAATATTACATGTTAGCTTCCGATTCACAAAGGAAAGGAGAAATGCAAAGGAGACGTTAGTAAAATGATATGATGATTACGTGTTGAAGCTCCGACTTTGTCGCCTTTTTTCGCCAGTAATTTTGCACGGATCGTCTAAGGGTCTGTGATTTCAAGCCGTAGAGAAGACCGTTGATGGGTGGAGAACAGGCGAGTAAAAGAGAGGCCAACGAGGCCAGTTTTGGGTGATCGTAGAAATGGGGTTGATTCCCGACACCGCAAACCTCCCAAAGAATCAGGCCACAGTATGGGAAATAAAGCAAATACAGCGAGCCAACCAGTTGCATTACCTGGAATAATTAATATTAGTTCATTTAAATGTTCCGAGTTAATGAGTTATGTTTCAACAGAAGGTTGCGGATGAAAGAAAGTTAGTTGCTATAATGAGGAATTGATAATTAAAAGATCTTTCAGAGAAAAACAACGCGAGCAAAAGAATGTTTCAGGTTTTTAGAATCAGGCAGTTACAGAGGAGTTAATTGAACATAAAAGCAAAGCAAGTAAACGCCTCGCGGCGGGGGGTGTAATCGATTTGACTTGCTAACATCCCTTTAAGTCTTCAATCTATTAATTAATTAAAAATATATTGTCCAATTGTAACGAGGAATATTAAAACAGTTTCAATTAATCGTGCATTAATTAACATAAATATTGATTATAGCTAACAATTAATTTATCATAAAATACTTGACGATAGGTACAAAATTTATTGATCTATACAATATCTAACAGTGTTTACATCGCATATGCACACACACGAACATCGGATGAAGTAAATATTTGTTGATGCGTGGCGTATAATATTTAAAATATCGCAAATAATATGGTAGAAATATCGAAAAGTCGAATAGATTCGTATTTATTTAGAAACCACTGCGAAATTTCATATTTGAAATAAAAAGTAATTATTTTAAAAGCACGGTGAACTAAAATCACGCGAAATGGGGTGAAAACTACCTTCCGCTGAAACTGCTAACGATTCCCTACGTAACACGTTTTCCTCGTGGAAATTATGTAGCTGAAAGGTATCTGCGGCTAGAGAGAGCATCGCGCGAGGAGATAATTATGCAGAGCAAACAGAAATTACGCGGATACAGGGACGTGTACAAACCGTGCTGGCCGCGCTGTGGAAACGTGGCGGGCTGACGGCAGAAGGCGCGGTGACAGTCGGTACGAAAAACGGATTCCGTTGATGGGTGATGGTCACCTGGGCACTCAAGGTAACTTCGTAAATTGCGCTCGCGATGCGATGACGGTGGTAACGGGCTATGCCGAGCACGCGCAAATTGCATACGGTTACCAGAATCGCGGGCAACGCCAGCCCTAGGATCGCGTAAACCGCCCCGTAGAGAACTGCCGCTAAACCCCAGGAATCGTTACCGAAATCCGGGGCGCAGCAGCCCAGACCCGGGCTATATCTATAGAAAAAATAATTAAGAGAATCATTGAGAAATTCTCTGCTTCGATATCGGTTAGGATTTTTGGAAAATAGAACAAACCTGTACGGTGGTACCAAGCCCCAAAAAGGCAACATGCACAAAAACAGAGCGCCTGTCCAGGATGCAGCCAATCCAACTGCAACGCGTCTTGGCGAGACCAATGCAGCGTAATGCAGCGGTGCGGCTATCGCGTAATACCTGCACGAGAAATCGAAGGAATTCAACGTGCTGGTTACACGTCGATTCGAAAGGGATTCTATGAAAAGACAGATTCCGTAAACGACGTCGAGTTTAATATAACCGTCGTTCTGTCTGGTACGATTACTCTTAAATGATACTTCTGGAATCGTTGGAATGTGGCATGCACCGGTGAATAATGAAAGGGTAAGGCAAAAAAGAATGAAACGAGAGGAAAAGGTCGTGACGATGTCGAAGAGGAATGCCGATTTAAATCCACCGACCTAGTGAATAAAATATTCCAGACGTTCGATCAGTAGCCACGATATATTTCCAAGTATTTTTATCCACGCTCTTCGTCCTCGTTCTGTGTTTCGTCTGATCCTCTAATAGCGCGTGGAACATTTCTTATATTTCTTTGAAGCAAACACGTGATATTTTGTCTTGGTTTCTGGTAAACGTCTATAAACTGTCCATTATACTTTTCAAAATTTCTTTCCCCTTTAAACGATGCAAGTTTGATATTTTTCATATTTTATTGAAAATTGTTTACTGTTTGATCGCTAAAATTTTCGAGCCACTTTCAAAGAAAGACATCGCAAAATTGAGCATGTCATGTTCGATTTACAAATTCCATAACTATTTCTCAGTTCTGGGACGCGATTTAAAGGAAGGAGCATCGTTTTCTGTGTTACGCTAGATACGAGCCACAGGAACGAGACGATCTGTCGAGGGGTTTCAGATTGAATCGAAGATCTCGCGTCGGCTGACGGCCACAGAGATATCGACTGAATACGACGAGCAGCTATTGACATCTTACATTGAAAAGCCTGGCTGCTTTCTGCCGCGTAAGACCACGTTTCGTTGAACGTCACAGTGGCATCGGATCGAAGTCGATTTTTCCACGAGATAAAGGGGCTCTGATCGGTCTGGATTCTGACTTACCGATCAAAGCAACGGAGATTCATTTCGGATACAAATCGCGTCTGTTCGATAACGTGCAAGTAGGAATTCTACTTTGCTGAATATATAAAAGAATGGAAATTATCCAAATCGCTGGAAATCGTGGCTCGTTCATTAAAGATTTATTTCATCAAAATAGATAATTGAAAAGAACTCACCTGTCGCAGTTCAATCCAGTCACAGTCCAAAGAGCGACCGGATGTAGGAGAGCCAAAAGGAAACCGTGTAGAACGCACCAAGTGCCGGCGATCGGCCAGGAACCAGTAGTAAAGATCAGTAATATCAGACACACGGCCGCCTCCACCGCGCCCAAATGTATCAACAACAAAGTATTCGCGGTTTGTTGCTGCTGCGTCTGTGAACATCGGGTTGATAACACGGTTAACTAGTTAAATCAACTTTCAACAGCATTCCTGCAGCATGCGATCTTAATTTCCAATTGGGATCTAGTAATTTTAACTTTTCGTCGTTTACACGCGAACCCTCGTTTCTTAAACTATTTCACATTACATTCGAAGAACTATCTGCGCTTTGTTAATAATATGCTTTTTTTAAATTGATAGGCTGTTCAAAAGGAATAGGTACTACGTTCCTCTGTTAGTGCCTTCTTCTTCGGTAAATTTTTATCGAACTTTCCTCGTCGATAAAAGATATCCTCTAGAAGTGTTTTATTTGACCCCATAAAAAGAGTGGTAGTATCGCGTGTACGTTTACGGAAAACAATACAGGAAATCTGAAGAACCGGTCTCGCAAAGGCTACGGAAAACGTTCCGAGCGACCTACTTCGCCGGCTGTCATTCAATGTCCGACTTTCGATATTACATCGAAGGAAAAGCGAGCTCCTCTAGCCGCGAAAGGTTCGCGTTGTTCAAATTGCCACGGTCACTGCGAACGGCAACCTAAACGAAAATGGATCGCGTAAAAGCGTAAGGCTATTTGCAAGATAAGCTGGCCGCTTTTCTTCCTTTCGTTCCCTCGACGAGAAATGTGTCACGCTCGCGAAAGTAAGGTGTGCTTCTGTTCAAAAGGAAATCGTTTTAAAAGGTAGGATTACAGCGATAGGAAAAATCGTGAGAAATCCAAAGGACCTATCCTCCTGGATGCTCTTAACCCTCAATTAATTTCTCAATAGCAGGGAGTTTCTTGAAAAGGATCTCGTGATGAAAAAAGGAGCTCGGAAAATTTCGCAGAAAATTCATCGAAGGAAGATCTATGGCGAATATTGAATCCCTATCGAACCTGTACGAATCAATTTATTTCTCAGATCCAGTAAATCTTTGATACAATAATTAATAATTAAAATGATGAAAATGAAGATTTTAATGAATACTGCGATAATAATATGAAATACAAAATTGGATTAAAATCGTGGCTTTCTCCATAGTTCGTCGTCCGTGGGTTAATATGTGTTTGCAAGGACACGTACGAAGCAATTATAATGTAACAATGCTAATTCCAAAACCAAGCAAGACGCATTCGAAGGTAGATAACGCGTAATCAATTCGAGCCGAGCAAGCCTGTATTCCCAACTGGTATTGCAATTGCTCTGATTGTGTTCGGGGAAGTGTTCGGTTCATTAGCGAATCGGGTTTCTTTGCGAAAATGAACTGAAATTTATCGGCTCCGAGTACTCTAGGTAATTTCATCGTTTATCTTGCGATAGCATAATGAAATTTTCGTCGCCGTTCCATACGTTATCAAACTTCATTGTATGCCCTGTGTTCTCGATAACAGAAGCCTCGTGAAGGACCAATAGTCCATTGAATAATTCCTGCAGTATCCTTCTATTGTCTATGGACGATTATTCTGTCCTGGTTTGAAGTTATTCACAGTACAAAAAAAAGAGAAAATGTAATGATTCACCTGTTTGCCCAATCCAAGAACCACGAGGAGAACGTAACCATTGAGAAGAAGACCCAGAGCAGAAACAAGGACGAGAGGCACGCCGAAGGCCCAAGGGACCATTCCTCTTCCTCCCGCGTGTTTTCCTCGCCTTCGAAGATTTCGGCTCCGAGGAGGATAGTTGACTCTTCCCGCGGCCTGTAGCTCAGGTATCGATCCTCTGCCACGCGATCCACGACGTCATGATGGCGGATGCACCTGAAACATCTGCCACGACGGTCCCGTGTCGATCAAACCTTCGAAATAACCGAACCAAATCGCGTTAATGTCACCCGGAAACTCGTGCCGGCTTCAAACTTGAACTACGGTTATTCGATTAGTGCGTTCGCGGGTAATTAAGTTATCGTGCAGGATAATAATTTCCGGGGAAAAAGAGGGAACCATCTATGACATTATGCTAGTAGCACTTGGAGTCAACAGTTTCGGGGTTAATTTGAGATACCGTTGAGTAACAAATTGTAAATTTTACACGCGAAATTAGTTTTGCATCGTAAATCAATAGTTACGAGCACAAACTTTGCTGGCAAGTAAAATTCAGTATCAAGTATGCCAAAGTATGTTCGCGCGATTATTAAATCAAAAAGCTCGTGGGTTAAATTTGTTATAAATTGAATTTCTTGGCGATTTAATTTAATTTCATCAAATCCAATATTCTCTCATTGAATTTATGCAACTTTTTGCAATGACCCCACGAGACACCCTGTATAATTAAGCGCTATGTAATTAGCGAGTAACACGCAGTTGCTGAGCAGTAGAAGGGTGCTCGTAAAGAATCTTTTTGCCTATGTCGCTAGGAGTTTTACAAACTTTTTACCATCTTGGCAGGTCGTGATATCGATTCATAAACGAGACATCGGTTTGGTCAAGGCTGTACCATCAGGACACGAAAGGTTATCGGTTGTCAGACCAGGTCTACGATTTGCCACCGAATACGTCAATTAACGGGGCCGATTACCGCAGATATATTGAATAATACATTAGTCGTAAGAGAGCAGCAATTTACCTCCGATCAATGTTACAATATTCCATGCTAATACCATCCAATAATTCCTTGTTCCAAGGATATAGGATTCGAATCCTTGTAGGGCAATGTAAGCCATAAAAAGGAACTTATATCCTACTCGTTTGTTTGTATCAGATGGAAATGAAAGTTTAGGTCATGAAACTTATCGTCAGCAAAAAAGCTTTATTGAAAACAGTGTTCGTAGTCCCTTGAGGGTTCAAATCGAAAATAGGTATTATTATTTTCTCTTCGTTCGTATCACGGTTACCATCTTCTGTCCTGCGACTTCACTCCAAGATGAAGTTTAAAAATTCAATCGTTCGGAAAATATCCTTCGATATTTCATAAGAACTCAACTACGAAACCAACACATTTTCCTTCAATTTTCTTTCCTCCTAGAAATTCAATTGAATACAGAATACAAGATTATGTGCTGTCTAGTTCATCCTTGATCTTCCTTCCTGGTGGAAGGTCTTTAGTACGATTAAAAATAAAATAGTACAAGAGTGTACATTTTTACGTAAATGGTGCAATATTAGCGATGGTGACTCTGATGACAGACAACGCGTTAATTAGTTTTCAGAAGGCTTTATCGAAACAAAAACACAGGGCTCGTTGAACAACAAGGAATGTCGATCCGCGAGACGATAGGGACAGTGAAAATTACAACTGACAGCTCAAGGTGATCGAAATCCTCGCCAATCTGCTAATGTCCTTTGATCAACTGACACGAGTAGCACGCGTTCGCGATAAATCCTATCGATGAACATCCCCGTTGCCCTAACTCTATACATATGAACGCATCGACTGTCATGGAATCATCTATGATCGATGTTGTGAACTTAATTTAGTCGAGAAATTAAAAAGGAAGAAATATGTAAATTTTCAGTTCAATATCTATAAAAAATCTATGCCACGTTTTAAGGAACTTTTTTATCAGCTTCTATAATACTTTGGATGTGATGCATTGCTCGATTCTTTTCTTCGCTGTGGCGCATAAATCTTAAATAAGCGTTATTACATAGCCAGAGCAAGGTTCGCACATGCTGATCGACCAAATACTTTGTGACACCCTTGCCCTTATGACCTGGTGCTCCATTATGCGTAACGATGCAATCTTTATTTGGGAACCAGTCATTTATCCGAGGGAACAGCAATTTTTCTAATATTCTTCCATGGATTTAAAAATATTATAATGATTTGAAATTGAAACAGAATAAGGTCAGAAATGAACGCAAATTCGGTCGAATAATACGTGTAATGACATGGTCTCATATGAATATTGTTTTACAATAGTAGTTAGTAGACAACGTAATTCAGTTATTCTGCCATTCGGGAGCTTCCATTATCGACCATTAGCCTGGTTCAACCTTTATGCTCAGACGACTGGCAACCTTCGCGAACAATATTTGCTTCAATCGTTTATAGTTTCTTGTTTGAAGATAAAAAAAATATTTAATTCCATTGTAAAATGGCAGTATTCGATTTTGTCATTACGTTTTCTGTTCATATTTCGGCCTAATCATTAATTAAAGTATTTTGTACGCGTTGCTCGAGGGTGGCATTAAAAACTCGTTAATGAAAGGGCACAAACAGAGATAAACGAAATTGTAAACGACGGATTTACACGAAAATCAGCTATAAGTCACGCGATGTTTGTCGTTTTTCGTTTTCCCATTAACAAATTGTCTTTGCAAATTTTATGAACTTAATGAATCCAAATTGTGTTTAGAGAACGAGTCAGCAATATCATGTATGTTAAAAATTTTCTTTTTCGATGCAACATGGTAATTTTTCTCGTTAGCTTAAATAAATTAGGTTCCTTCATACGGGGTCACGTGTTTTTCAATTAAATAATAATCGCTACTTTCGGGTCGGCGTTTTAAGAACGAAACGATAGGGCTCACCCGTTCCGCGAGATTGGCCGCACACTGTTCTCTTTGCAAATTTTCTCGGTCGAGGCAAATTAAAGGAATGCGATTTCCATGAAATTAACCGTGTATACGGTATGCAAAGTACTTGGAGCTGAAAGCGAGCATTGTGCTCGTCCCGTCTCGATTTTATACACGAGAATTCGTTCATGTATTTTCGCACAGTATAAATATCTTGGGGAGTATCCATTTAATGAAGAAAATTGGGACCAAAATCTATCAGTATTTTGTCTGTATATAAATTATCATAACTTTCAAATATTATTTATCTCAGGTCTTCTTCATTCTTACAATTCTTGCAATATTCTTGCTTATCATTAAGTTTCCTTCCTCCTCTGCTCTTACAAATTTCGCAGTCAGCTTTTGCACATTAATTTCCAAAAAATTTTTTCTGCAGGCAGAAATACAATTGTTTCTAGTATTTCAAATAAAAAAACAGACTGTTCGTAATTATAACGTTTCATTCGGAGATTGAGTTTCAACCCTTTGCTATTTTTTAAAGTATCAAAATTCTCCCTGGGACAATGGATGCTGGGTCGTTCACGATTCAGGTTTAAATATCTGAACCGAGGGGTAAATAAAATCGGTGAAACTGCGCGGACGAAAAGTAGTTGAAAGTTTTCTCATTCGTGCTTCCACTGCTTCGCAGAAACCATGAGGTTTAACGTGGAACCGGAGGGATGAAAGTGAAACTGCCTCGCATGATAACGCGGCTGTTTAGAAATAAAGGAAACCATTGGGAAACTAAGCTTCCTGCTTTAGGCTCTCATTTGTTTGTTCGAAATAGGCTGAACGGAAGTTTGAAAATAACAGGGCATTCTCAGATCAAATCTGGACAGATTGCGATGGGCTTCTGCCAGCGATGGATTTCATTGAATTTTCCAGGCAACTGTAACAAATTTTAGGAATAATAAGACTCGGAAGGCTGAAAATTATATAAAGATTTTGAGGCGCTAAATTCAAGCTGGATTGTATTTTAATAGCACGTGGAATGAAAATGGATGAAGTGAACTTCCTTTTTGGCCAGCATCCGAATATAAATGTAACGTTGACATAGTAATTTATTTCTGTTATATTTGCTCGTGAATGAAAATTTTAAAATTGCTTCATTCCCTGAGAGAAATTCATATTGTTCAATTTACGAGATTTTAACATTCTTTTTCACGAACGATTGTAAAATGAAATAACAGTCGAGGAAAAATAATGTTACCTTACTACAGACAGTTCATCAATTAGAAAATAAAAATAAAATTAAGCGTCGAAAGTTGTTTCAACGATTTAATCTAGGCAATTAACTTCTCAACGCAAATAAAACTCTGTCGAGGGTAGTTAAGTGCCTTCCCAATGGATCCCCATTTCTTCGATTCCACTTTTTTCCACTCGGTGCGCAAAGAATTTCACGCAACAAGTATCTAACGATAGATGACACTCGAGCAAGATTTCGAGCATCCCAATAAGACCCTCCACTGTAAGCTGATTTCCATTTTGTACTAGCTAAAACGTTTCCCTCTGAACTAGTACAGCAAACAAGAATTCGATCGATTTCAGACGATGTTTCCTTTCGCTCGTTCGTTCTTCATTCTTCGGATCAACCTCTTTGGAAAATCGGGATTAAAATTGAACTCACAGGTCCGAGAAGAAAATACTTGGTCTATTGGAATTCTTGCACCAAGTTGAACTTGAATTGTAAATTAAGGAATTCAAATTACAAAGGGCCGAACGTTATTAAATTCGAATTTAGAAGATTTTGAAATTTTATAATAATTTTAAGATCGAAAAATATGTCATCTGATGATAATTAAACAAGCCCCCGAAATTAATTAAGGTCCAAGGAACGAATTTTGGTGGCCTTCGCACATCACACGACTAAAAGTTTGCCTAACACTTTGAGCAATTTACATTTAATCAGAGATTAAGTAGCTATACGAAAGTTTCAATTTAACTCCCTAGGAAATTGCGTTAAGTGAAAGCAACTTGTTAATAAGATATTAACGAGCTCACAAGAAATTACGTTGCCATTCGATTTAGCAGGCTGAATAGAACCTGAGGGTGTTTAACTAAATGAACAACGAACAAGGGTGATTTTTGTAGTTGAATGATAGAACGGATGCGGTTCCTTCATTTTTCTCAACGCTTTGAAAGAACAAAGAAGTGTGCAAACAACATTTATCTTGTTCTGTTTGTTCATTTCCATAGTCTCTTCTACGTCTACTTCTTTTTCGAGTCGCATTGAAATGGAGGCATGTGATTAATAACGATCAGAATGATAAAAA